CATCTGTCAACGCCTGTACAACTCATGAAACGACGCCCCACCAAACCCTTGACACTGCGTCTCAACGTAAAACATACCCTCGACCCTGGCGCCCAAACATCCAACCCTCGACCCTGGCGCCCAAACATCCAACCCTCGACCCTGGCGCCCAAACATCCAACCCTCGACCCTGGCGCCCAAACATCCAACCCTCGACCCTGGCGCCCAAACATCCAACCCTCGACCCTGGCGCCCAAACATCCAACCCTCGACCCTTGCGCCCAAACATCCAACCCTCGACCCTGGCGCCCAAACATCCAACCCTCGACTCTGGCGCCCAAACATCCAACCCTCGACCCTGGCGCCCAAACATCCAACCCTCGACCCTGGCGCCCAAACATCCAACCCTCGACCCTGGCGCCCAAACATCCAACCCTCGACCCTGGCGCCCAAACATCCAACCCTCGACCCTGGCGCCCAAACATCCAACCCTCGACCCTGGCGCCCAAACATCCAACCCTCGATCCTGGCGCCCAAACATCCAACCCTCGACCCTGGCGCCCAAACATCCAACCCTCTACCCTGGCGCCCAAACATCCAACCCTCGACCCTGGCGCCCAAACATCCAACCCTCGACCCTGGCGCCCAAACATCCAACCCTCGACCCTGGCGCCCAAACATCCAACCCTCACCCTGGCGCCTCAACATCCAACCATCACCCTTGCGCATCAACATCCAACCCTCGACCCTGGCGCCCAAACATCCAACCCTCGACCCTGGCGCCCAAACATCCAACCCTCGACCCTGGCGCCCAAACATCCAACCCTCGACCCTGGCGCCCAAACATCCAACCCTCGACCCTGGCGCCCAAACATCCAACCCTCTACCCTGGCGCCCAAACATCCAACCCTCGACCCTGGCGCCCAAACATCCAACCCTCGACCCTGGCGCCCAAACATCCAACCCTCGAACCTGGCGCCCAAACATCCAACCCTCACCCTGGCGCCTCAACATCCAACCATCACCCTTGCGCATCAACATCCAACCCTCGACCCTGGCGCCCAAACATCCAACCCTCGACCCTGGCGCCCAAACATCCAACCCTCGACCCTGGCGCCCAAACATCCAACCCTCGACCCTGGCGCCTCAACATCCAACCCTCGACCCTGGCGCCCAAACATCCAACCCTCGGCCCTGGCGCCCAAACATCCAACCCTCGACCCTGGCGCCCAAACATCCAACCCTCGGCCCTGGCGCCCAAACATCCAACCCTCGACCCTGGCGCCCAAACATCCAACCCTCGACCCTGGCGCCTCAACATCCAACCCTCGACCCTGGCGCCCAAACATCCAACCCTCGACCCTGGCGCCCAAACATCCAACCCTCGACCCTGGCGCCCAAACATCCAACCCTCGGCCCTGGCACCTCAACATCCAACCATCACCCTTGCGCATCAACATCCAACCCTCACCCTGGCGCCTCAACATCCAACCATCACCCTTGCGCATCAACATCCAACCCCCGACCCGGCGCCCCAACATCCAACTCTTACCTCTGCTCCCAAAAACCAGTGGCGTAGCGATGGGGGGGGGGGGGGGGGGGCAGGGGGGTACATATGTCCCCGGGCGCCGACCTTAGGGGGCGCCAAAATGGGTTGTAAAAACAAATGAAAATGTAATTTTAGCTGCATTTTTGCATTATAAACAGTTTGAGGGGGGGTGCAAATCAAAAGTTTGAGGGGGGGTTGTAAATCAAATTTGCTCCCGAGGGGGGCGCCAAATTGAAAGGTTGTCCCCGGGCGCCTGGAAGGGTCGCTACGCCTCTGCCAAAAACCCAACCCTCTCGTAGGCGCCCCTTCAACCAACCCTCACCTTGATGCCCCAACAACCAACCCTCACCTTGATGCCCCAACAACCAACCCTCACCTTGATGCCCCAACAACCAACCCTCACCTTGATGCCCCAACAACCAACCCTCACCTTGATCCCCCAACAACCAACTCTCACCTTGATCCCCCAACAACCAACCCTCACCTTGATGCCCCAACAACCAACCCTCACCTTGATGCCCCAACAACCAACCCTCACCTTGATGCCCCAACAACCAACCCTCACCTTGATGCCCCAACAACCAACCCTCACCTTGATGCCCCAACAACCAACCCTCACCTTGATGCCCCAACAACCAACCCTCACCTTGATGCCCAACAACCAACCCTCACCTTGATGCCCCAACAACCAACCCTCACCTTGATGCCCCAACAACCAACCCTCACCTTGATGCCCCAACAACCAACCCTCACCTTGATGCCCCAACAACCAACCCTCACCTTGATGCCCCAACATCCAACCCTCACCTTGATGCCCCAACAACCAACCCTCACCTTGATGCCCCAACAACCAACCCTCACCTTGATGCCCCAACAACCAACCCTCACCTTGATGCCCCAACAACCAACCCTCACCTTGATGCCCCAACAACCAACCCTCACCTTGATGCCCCAACAACCAACCCTCACCTTGATGCCCAACAACCAACCCTCACCTTGATGCCCCAACAACCAACCCTCACCTTGATCCCCCAACAACCAACCCTCACCTTGATGCCCCAACAACCAACCCTCACCTTGATGCCCCAACAACCAACCCTCACCTTGATGCCCCAACAACCAACCCTCACCTTGATGCCCCAACAACCAACCCTCCCCCAAACCCCCTACAACCAACCCTCACCCCAGCGGCCTAACGCCCAACCCCTCCACTACTTAGATCTAGCTCGCGTGCGACCAAATAAAAATCTGGATATTGATTAGCCACCAGCCCGCCGCCGGCATCCAAACCTTCCTAGTTGCCGAGTCAGGAGTTTTAAAAAACTTTTTCTTCCATAGGTTTTTTTTTATAGGGAAGAAGAGCGGGATCGACGTCTTAGTAATAAAAAAAATGGTGGTGTGGGGAGTAGGGTGAGGCGAAGGAATTATCAGAGAACAAAAAATAAAAATTAATAACACCGTGGAGATGGTATTTGAGATATAAAAATTGGTTGTTGGGGAGGGAGGTGTGTGAATTACGTGAGTACAAAAAAAGCAGGTGTGATATAATTCCTCGAAAATAAAAAAAAATTGGGGTTGGGGATTGTTTGAGAATGTTTAAAAATGGATAGTGTAAGCGGTAAACGGAAAAAAAGTCACAGGAAAAAAAAACACAGAAAAAAAGTCACAGTTTTTGCTAGGAAAAAAAGTCACAGAAAAAAAGTCACAGTGGAAAAAATTTTTTGGAAAAAAAGTCACAGAAATAAAGTCACAGAAAAAAAGTCACAAAAATATTTTTAGAAATATTTTTTTTATTTGTTAAGAATTGTAAAATTTTGTATGTTTCTTGTTGTGGGTTGTATTTTTTTATAGCATAAATTATTTATAGACGTTAAAAGCATTATGGTTTATAACAATTGTAAGTAAAAATACTCTAATATAATTTACACAACAATCTCAACTTTTGTTACGTATTTAGTTAAAAACGCGGTAGAAAATTTAACTATAAAAAAAATTTAGGCACATTTCGCCGTAGGCTATTCTCTGGTCGGCCTCTCCTCAGTAGGCATTGTCCGAACATATTTTGTGTTGTTGACGTCATGCGTCAATGACAGCATTTGAACATTGTCGGCTTTCTTTTTTTATCCTAAGTGTTGTTATGTAATGAGCGCGATAAATGTGGGCAGTAAAGGTGGTTGAACTAAACATCTAAACATAACTATTGTGGCCATGAGTTGAGGGCAGCAAGTCAGACGAACTTACCATTTCACGGTAATTTAATGTTGGTATTTTAAAAAAAAACAGGATTAAAACCGTGGACTTTGGAGCATTCTATTAAACGCTACTAATCTTAAGTTTAAAATAATTACAATCTACATACTTCATACTAAATATTTTTAGATGAATTATAAAAATTCCTATGCGTATACAGCCTACACACATTACATTTAATTAATCCTAAGTTAATTTGCACTCTCTGAATATTTAATACATAAAAGTATTAACAAGTATCATGCAAATATATATTTGTGACTTTTTTTCCTGTGACTTTTTTTCCTGTGACTTTTTTTCCTGTGACTTTTTTTCTGTGTTTTTTTTTCCTGTGTTTTTTTTTCCTGTGACTTTTTTTCCTACAATCAGTGTAAGCACGTGTAGCCCTATCTGTCTAGCTTGAAATACATTTCAAAATACAAAATACATTTGAAAATACAATTATTAAACATAGGAAATAATTAATTATAATTTAAACATTTCTAACTCATATGTTAAAAATATAATTATTAAACATAGGATATAATTATTTATAATTTAAACATTTCAAATTCATAAGTTGAAAATAATTTGGACCCTACCAACTGCACATGTTCACATAAAATTTTAAAATCATGAGTTATCATTTTTTTCCCACGTTTTCTTTAACTTGCTTTCGCGTCTGTTTGGCTCTCCAATCAAATCTTGCGATCGAAATTTCGGGCACTTCCTACAAACTCTCCACAAGCTCCCTAATAAAAGTCAATAGTATTAGAAACTGTAAGAAAATCACGGCGCCCCACGTTTTTGATCGCTTATAGTAGAGTGATCGCTTGCATTATTGTGATGTATAACATTTATTTTCTACTTTTTAGTTCAATCAGAAAACGTGGGTTTTTTTAAACTTTTTTAATGATTATTAAAACAAAAATATAGCAGATGTGCGACTAGTTGTAATCAACTTTTTAAAAATGGTTAAGTGTGTAACTAGATGGTACTGTGACCAGCTTTGTCCTGAATTCTAGGCTAATTGCTAATTGACCTAATTTTAAATTGTGGATGTGCTGTAACACAGGTCCTGTGTTTTTTTATTTAAACTTTTTTTAAAATGTCGTGTTATGGATTAGGCTTGTGCAATTAATGTGTGATAACAGTATTTTCAGTTAGAAATTCTAATTGATTTCAAATCTAAAAACCTTTTTGACTCATGAAATAACCCAAACTTTGCCCACTGTTTTTCCAGAAACGCAATGAAGACAAGAGATTGAAGGATGAAAGGCTGGCCTCTTTACAGACCCAATTTAAAAAATCAATAGGTCAGTTGTAGGTTGTAGAATTAAAACCAGTCAAGCCTAGCCCATACTTTAAATAAAACATTATGTTATCTAATGGCATATTCTATTGCTTTGACCCCCAACATACACAACACACACACACACACATATATATTATATATATATATATATATATATATATATATATATAGGCTTACACACACACATACATCCATACATACATACAAACGTGCCCTCTTTTCTTATGGAACAGACTGCTTGAATGAACACAATTGGTAAAGCTGCTTGTTGCTGCCCACACCTCTCTTGCCTTTGCTAATGCATCAAACTGTGGAGAAAACAGTTTGTTGCTTCAATGACCATACTACAGTTGCTGTTAAGATGCTACAAGAATATAATGCTAATGTATAGACCTTCCCAGTGCCGGCGCCAGGTTATTTAGCGCCCTCAACAAAACTTATTAAGACGCCCCCACCCCCTGCAGCAATTTTTTTCGGGCCCCAAAACTATATATATATATATATATATAAGTAGACTCTAAATTTTAAATTAAACCATTTAACCTATTTCATGATAGGCTGAAACTCATTTCTGGTCTGAAATAATCCAGTTTTAAAATATCTCATTTATGCCCGCCAAAAATTATGAATTTCAAAATAGAGAAAACAAGACTTTTAAGCCCTATTAAAAATCAAAACTTCATGTGTATTACAACGTTGCGTCAAACCCTAGAGCGATCACTTAACATTAAATTAGATAATCCTTAAAGATTTAGAGTAAATACAATAATTATCTCATTAACAGAGGCGTGTCTTGGGGAGGGCGGATGGGGTGGCCGCCCTGGCACCATTCCAAAGGGGGGTGCCAAACATGGTAGATAATATAAAAAGCTTATTACTTAATTATATACAGTCGAAATAAAGAATATAGACTTAGCATTATGGATTAATTTAATTGTTTTCTACATCAACTGTGTAGGACCATAAAGAAAAAGGCAAATTATATGGTAAAAAGCGCCCAGACCTTTCTAAATGAGGGAGGGGGGGGGCATTTTCACCAACTCGAATAACTAAATATAGGCCTAATTTGAAGATGTGGCGCAAAATTGATAGTTCGTCCTGGGCACCGAAATTAATCGCTACGCCTTTGAAGTTTACCCTTTAGTTTCTACAATATAATGAAAGTTATTAATTTTTAGGTACTTTTTAATAATAGCGATTACCCATTTTAGCGCCCCTTTATGGATAGCGCCTAGGCAACCACCTAGTTCGCCTTATAGGTAGTTCTGGCCTTGGACCTTCCAAATAAATCTTGAGAAAACCATAGAAATACTTTCCCCACTAAATGGTGGAGGGAACTCTACAAGGGGTAAATTGGAATTAAATATTTTTTAATTAGAATTATTATATACTCTAATATATCAAATACCTGTTGTTTTGTTTTTCAGATTCAGAACGCAAATCAAAACAAAATCAGACAAATGTCCACCACACCCCTGACAAGGTTGAAAGTAAGCAGAGGGTTTCTGAGGAAAAAAACTCCTCTATTGGGCCTGCAGCTTCATCTAAAGCTACTCTAACTGTCAGGGAACACCGAGAGGAACATGAGGGTCAAATGGAGCAACTCAACCACACGTCTGCTCATGGCAGCCAATCAGCTCAAGGTCCCAGCCTCCACACCAACTCAAGGTCAGAAAGGAGAAAGTTAGCTAACTCTGTTTTCCAAAATTTGCAAGGTAAATATTTATGTAAAAAATAAGACATAGATTCTCTGTATGTAAAATATTTTATGTAAAATATGTATGTAAAATATGTATGTAAAATATGATATCTTTGGTTTAAGCTGGCAGAGACTTTGATACCACATTGTAGCTGTGTTAAAAACAGTTTTAGTTATTTTGTATTTACTTGCTACCTCAAAGTTTAAACAATATTTTAAAATAAAATTTAAACCATAAAAATTAATTTTGTAAACCTTTACAAATGAATTTCCTGGGACATTCTGCAATCTAAAATAATTTTTATGTAGTTTACCAATTAAATTAGCCATTAGACCAAAAACAAAATGGTGCCTCGGCCTTTGACTATATATCTCAAGGTTTTCAAAGTTGTAATGACTTTTACTTAACATTTCTATGTGTGTGTACTTAACAAAGTTTTTTTTATCAACTTTGCTGTCCTATTTAAAAATCACTGATTTAAGAAAAGAGGAAATTATTTTCTCTAATGCATTACAGTTCAGCACTCATTTTTCCCATAGGTCATTTGGGTGCAGAGCACATTTGGACACAACTGCGTTCAGATTCCATAAACAAACTCGAAAAAGCGGACCAGTTGTTCCCAAAAACATTGAAGGTAATTTTTTAATTGTTACTCTTAATGAATTTTCTCAGATTAATTTGTAGAAGTTTATTAGAATAATGAAAGAGATACATAAAAATGGCAATGGTCAGCCCTGTTATATTAGTATTACCAATTGTAAAACATGCAGTCTATTTTATTTAAAAGATTTTCTATCCTTGCATCCCATGAAACCAAGATGTATAGTTGAAGAAAGCAATTTTAGCACAGAACTAGATCTCTCAGCTAAATATGTTGTTTGTATTGAAATAAAAGGCTCTTGTGCCCAATATACTGTAATCCATATAACAATACATCTCGAGAGTGATACATCTCTAGAATACATTATTTTCTGTATACAGAACTTCAGTTGATTGGGTTTTCATTTATTTTTTAATGTTTAGCTTTCATGCTAGTAAGGGGATGGAAACTATGATCAAATGCTGCTCTGACATATATCTAAACCTTTAATCTGATAGGATGCTTTTAGTGCACATGTCAGAGAAGGCATCACAAAACACAAGAAACCAGTGTTCCGTAACTTTACAATCAATGATGATGTAAGTACTCATTTGTGGTGGATTAAATGCTTTAGAATGATGTTTAGGTCAGGGTAATTGCTTGGGGTGTGTTTTTTGTCAGACACTTGCTAGCAGGGCTTCCATGTCCCCTCTCCAACTCTTCTTTCATCAGATGGTCTCCGGCCAGACAAAGGAGCCATCAGTGTAACTGTGTAAATATATTGATGAAACTGTATTAATTTTGTTTAGATATATGCACTAGTACATTTAGGGGAGCTCGTTCCTTGTTTATTTAAACAGGAATTTCTAAAATATTACCTGAGCTGGGTTGCATTAAGTATATTGATCAATGATTTTTAAATAAAAAAATTACTGCAAAATATTACTGAAACTGCAAAAATACTGATGTTCCGCTTCTGATCAGTGTTTCTTCCAGACTTTTTTCTCCGGGGGGGCACTTGAAATCTTCGGGGGGCGGTAAACTTTCTTCGGGGGGGCGGACACTGTAAAAAGTATATATTTTCTATATAAATTATATAAATTTCATTACATTCGGGGGGGCGGTAAAAATTTTTCGGGGGGGGGGGGGGCGAACCCCCCGAAGAGATGCCTGGAAGAAACTCTGCTTCTGATGATTATAATATAGAAAGATACACACTGGTTAAATGTTGATAGATTAGCAATACATTTAAATAAGTTCATTATTTAATTTTATGGTCTTGATATTTTAGAAGTTAACACACTGTATTTCTTAGTTGATTAAGTAGGCCTAATACAATAGTTAGGTACATCTATTTGCTAATAGATCTTTGCTAATAGCAAATTAGCTATTTGCTATTTTGTAAATTATGTATGAAGAATGTTGTATTGTAGCCTACTGAAATATATATTTTCTCTTTAAAATTATTTTTGCTCAATTTGGCAAATCGTATAAAATATTTTAGTGAACCCATATATGCAAATAACTGGCCTTTCCGGTTTTGTTTCTCTTCGGTACCACGCCGTAGGGCCTAGGCCTATCTCCTGTGTCTAATACTAACGTGGCGTGTGGGAAAAAAAAACGTTACTAGATTTCTAGCATGGGGACAAATCTTCGGATGAAATATTTTCCTAATCATTACTTTATTATGAATTGTTTTAAATTAAACAGTCATTTAAACGAGGCAGAACTAGAATCTAAATGTGTTTGTATAAAAAGTAAAAGGTAAGCGGTTTTTTGTTTTCAGAGATCTTTCTAGAATCTAGCCAGTTTTTGTTAGATCTGGGAGAAAAATGCGAGCCGCGTAGGGTAGGACCTGTAAACTACATGTGGAATTGCGGGAGTTTCAACAACAGCTCGAAATAAGCGCACTGTATTTTCAGAGAATTAACTTTATTGCTTTTTTCGGTTAATTGCTTATACCAGTCTCCGGGATTTGACTACATCCGGCATCGGCCAATGAAATACGCGCTTTCTAAGCGTTTTGGTAAGGCGTGACGTCATCAGCGCGGTGTGTCAAAACTGCGGTTTTGAAGCCTAAATTTAATTTATAGTTCAAATCGCAACGCGTTTTTTCAAAATGAGGGAAAAATGACCCTTTTTAAAAATGGAGATAGTCGTTTTTTTCAATGATGACGCCACAAAATCTCAAAATATTGCCGTCCGAAAAAGCAATCATTGTTAAATATTTGCCTTTTCGTGCATTAATATTTTGTCAAGTCTACCAAAACGCTTATAAAGTGCGTGTTTCATCGGCCGATGCCGAAAGTATGTAAATAATACAAAGAAAACAGACAATAAATTTATTTTGATCATATTTTATTGCGTATTGTAGTAAACGAGCAAACAAAGTTATCAACAGCACACCGCAGAGAGTTGCGCGGCACGTGTTCCAAATTAGGTCAAAGCACGGATCTAGGCTAGCCCGCGCAGCTAAATGCCAAAATATAATTTCTTAACGTAAAGTACGGTAAAGCGACAAAGCAACGTTAACTTTATAGACACGGGTGTTAAATGGCTGTCCCTGCAGGGTTTTAAATTTGCATTATCTAGAACGTGGGGATATTGGTAGATCTGTTATTTATTTTCAACTGTAACCGATCGATGGCTAAGTGGTCAAGGCGGGAAAATGAGGTCACGTGATGTCTCAAAAGTTTAGATGGACACCCGACATCTAAATCTAGTATTTCGATGAAAAGCGGCTTAGCGGCTGAATTTATTGATTAAACGCTTTGATGGAGGTATAGATAATAGATAATTAATAAAAAGAAAAAAAATATCCTACTTACAAAATACGACATCATATCCATGCAGAAAAAATTATTCCAACGCCATTTATGAATATTAATTAGATCTGCAATTTTATCACCACATGACCCTCGAAGGCTCAGACGTGTAGGTCTAGGGCTCTAGGTGTAACACACATTCGGCCCGGGATGTTAATAGTAATAATATATTTTATTGGTTTGGGGCCTATGCCTAATTAGTTGGCCCTGACATAAGGATAACCTATTTAAAATATTATTTGTAAATGAAAGTGGGTAAGGGTTAAGAAAATGTGAACACATTTTGTTTTATGTATGGCTATACGTTTAACAAGAAACATGTTTGAAAAGGAGGGCATTTATTTTTAAAATTTGATGAGTGCTGTGTGTTTTTTATTCTCACCTACTTAAAGTGACGTAAGCAAATTTGCATATGGCCTTGACCTTGTACTGCTTTGTAAAGATTCTCAAGCACCAAAAAAGGCCTGATTTATGTTATTAATACGAAAAAAGAAAATACATGGACATATTTATAACCACGATTATCTACGCGGTCAAACGATTTTTGTTACATTTTATTGGGATTGGAATTTAATAATCAATATACACGCAGTGGTCATGGAAAGTTTAAAAGATGTCACTTTTTTGACGAAGTTTACCTCCTCCTCCCCACAGTTTACAATAAAAATAGCGACCCCCCCACCCCCCGTCTCTGAAATGTGACGATGTTTATGGACGATTCCTATGTCCCACGTAGAAGGGGGGGGGGGAATTAGTAAAATATATGTATGTTCTATAAAGTATTATAGATCGTTGTCTATTATGTTCGGGTCGGGGAGGGGTGGTAGGCTGTTTAAAAAATAATACTGTTTACAAATATCTCAGACCTGGCCACGCTTGGTGTGGGGGGGGGGGGGGGGGGGTGTGTGTATCCAACCCCCCCCCCCCCCCCCCCACAAAGTACAGAATAAAAATTACCCCTACCCCCCCCCCCCACAAAGTACAGAATAAAAATTAAATGTTGACCATTGTAAATAATCACTGGATTAACATAATTAATTAATTTGGTCATGATAATATTTAAGTTTAAGAAGTCTTTTCAAGACAAAAAAAAACTTTAAAAAAAAACACACCTTATAATATAAACGAACCCACAAGTGCATTAACGAAGTAATTAGCATAATTAACATATTGTAATTAAGCTAATTAATTAATTAGCACTAATGATAATGAAGGGAGATAGTTTTTTTTTGTTATGGCACCTCTCCAAATCTTATTATTTTCATAATCACTATGCAAAAAGTATTTATGTTACAAAAACTACACATCTCTGTTCTCTCGGTGCCTAGCGCGACCTATTTAGGCCAAAGTGAGTTTGTTTATGTTGACGTTTTATTTTTAGACTTCACGGTACAATGCAGATCATTGGCCGGAAGAACATATTGTCAGACACTGGTATAAGTAATCATCGCTTTTTTCCATCAGAGAAAGTTTCTATCAAAAACGAATCAAAATTGCCACTGAAAAAATTTTATGCTGAATAAAGGACAATTTCATGCTGACTTTCTTTTACTGGTGGAAAAAACATTTGAAATCCTTTCAGCCGATCCATTTTTCTACCCATATATTGGAATGGTCGTACCTTCCACTTCTGCTTAAATTGTTTGGCCGATGCTAGCCGAAAATAAAAACGCATGCGCAATGGAGAGAAACTACGACTTGCCATTGCTGCGATGTTTTCGATGGTACTGGGCATACGTGTGTTTACAACCGCAGAAACCTAGCCATAGGTCACTGCGCATGCGCAGAGCTATCTTTTGCAGACTAAATGGAGACGGGGAGAAAAATCTTCCGAGTAGTCACTTTGTAACTGTTTTTACAAATGAATGCCATACTGGCCTGCTTCATTTCTGGAATGTGTAATAGTCCACGCCGTGTAAACTTACTGTGTCGTTGTAAAGGTGCTACAGCTATGAGGACTCAGTTTAAAAAAATTCATTCCTCTCAATTTTACCCCCTATTTTTTGTAATTTCATAAAGCTTTTCAGAAGTTGAGCTGGTTGTGATCTACGACACAAGACAGCCCAGGTTATTTTGAATTTTAACTCTTGGAACTAAATACTGTTGTAGAACGATTAGGCCTATACATACCCCTGTCCAATAATAGACTTCCATAAAATAGGTGTGCTGGGTTGTTAGTATTGTAATCTCGACTAATTTTAGGGTTAGGTGCATGGTAGGACCAGGGTTGGGGTTAGGGACAGGGTTAGCGTTGACATTAGCCAGCCACGTGTGTATTTAGTTCACTACCAGTAACCTAACACTCCTGTTTTAAAGAAGATTCTATAGTCGGACACTGGTATAAAAATTCCCCCAAATTTTGTTTTTAAATAAAGTAGGCCTAAAATGTGGGCCTGTTTATTTTTGTAATCTACTGGTCATTTAAGCCTAAGCATAATTTATTAACTTGAGGCCAATAACAATTTTTCTTTTTTAGAAAAAATATTCTTTCATTACAGCTTATAGGAATGTGTGACCATAGGCCAAAATTAATGCTCGGTCCAAATAGCGACCTGGGCTATTGGACCCGGGTCCGAATAGTCACTTCAATTGTTAAATAGTCTTTCTATTAAGCGTGGATATCTAGTACTGGGTAGTAGTAGAGACTTGGGTAAGAGATAATAATTTAAATATTAATCCCCAAACTCATTGTAGAGCAGGCTAAGTGAGAAATATTGTAAGTCTACAAGATAGGCTTGAGAGGCCCATTAGCACTAAGCATTTTGTGTGATGTGATTTATTAGGGTGTATAATTTTAACTAGTGACCTTGATATGATGAATATTAAATTGTGTCCAGACCTCTTAATACTTGTGTAGATAAAACTTGAGTATTTCTGATCTGGTCACTAGTGTTTATGCTTAAATAAGTATGCTCAAATAAAAATCTTCGTAATGTTGCAATGTTTAATATGGTTGCTACTGTATAAATATCAAGCTTTTTTTTGCCATCAGGTACCTGACTTAAAACTTCTTATGGATCAATCCTTGCTGAGGAGTATTAGAACAACACGTCACAAAACAGAGCTGATGTTTCGCTCGTCGCAGACCAACAAAGACAGGACAAAGATCTTGATGTACAATAGTACTTGGCCAGATGTTGCAGAGGGAGAGAGCATATCTAAATACCTTATACCTATAGATGTTTCTACCTATGTAAGGCTTTTACTTGCATTAGCAGCTAATTATGTTGCTGTGGGAGTTATATAGCACGGTTTTTAATATATATTTTTATTAAATAATGTGGCCTTATATGATGATCTTAAAAAGTGTCCAGACCTCTAAATTATCATGTAGATACCCCATTGAGTCTTTCTGATTTGGTCACCATTGTTAAAGTTTGTTTGGATCAAAGTGTCTAGTTGCATTGGAGAGTGTAGTATATCTATGTTTTTTATTTTGTTAATGTACTTGCCAAATAGTTAATCCCACATATTTAAACAGTTAATATCTGGGTACAGTTCATCAGTAAAAGCTTATCAACATTAATTGTTGGCTTTTTTGTAGACCAATGTTCTTTGTTTTGTATCAAAAGGATGGTGCCCAAAGTGAGCAATCTTACAAAAAATGGATTACAAGGGCAGCGATGTTAGATGCCCCTCAAGATGAAAAATGTGCTACTTTAGAAAGATACTCAACTCCAGTCTTGGGCTCTGTGGACAATATGGCTGATCATCTTCACAATGTGTGGAGTTCTGCAAACAGAAGGAAAGAGCCTAGGTACGGTTATTCTAAGTTCCCGGCAAGGTCACATAATGTGCCTAATTCAATTTAGTGAACTACTAATTCTCGATCTTATCAGCAAATTTAACGATACGTTAACACAGGTGACATTTGTGAACGGCTTCTAAACTGTTACTGATTAAATATAAGTATGCAGCACATTCAGTGTATAAAATAAATAAAAGGTAGTATTTAATATAACCTACTTTATCTACCACATTGCACTTTTTTAATCCATGATAAAAAAAAAAAATTTTAATATTTCAAATGGCATTAGTTAAAACAATAAGTTTGGAAAACTTATTTTAATATACACTTTAAGAATATTACACTATGGCGATGTAAGTGTTCCACTAGTCCGGCTGTCCGCCACATACAGAATTGAGCTTTATACATTATTATTTTTCTGCAGGTACCATTTTTTAACTGAAAAAGAAGCCACTGTTAAAGGATCATTTTTTAACAAGGGTAAAGATAATCAACACATTGTCCGTCAAAATCAAATGCAGTTACCAAGCCTTCAACAAGACTCATCAGAAAAAGTTTTTGAAGCACAGTTATCTAGTGAGTATTTTATGAAACACCTCACCATGTTGAGCTTTTGTTTGTTTGTTTTTTACTTTACATGGACACAGAGGTGCCACTTTTGAAAGCTTGACTGGAAATGATGCACTTAATTAAATCAGTGTCTTGACCTCTGATATATGTTGAAGATACCATTCGAGTTATCTGATCTAGTCATTCTTTTTTGTTAGCATTTTCATGTGGTTTGTTTGTTTCTTGGCAGTTGCTAGTTAACTAATTTTTACTGACGTGGTCCAGTACAGAATAAATGAGTGGGTGTTTTTTTATTTTTTAAATAGTTTCAGTATTTTAATTTTATGGTTTAGATCAATGCACAGACTGAATGTAATTTGCTACAAGGTAATTGAAGTAAAAGACTAGATTTGTTGTATTGCTTGTTATATGTTAAATTGTGATGTTTTCACTGTTATTCCTTGGATGTCAAATGACAAGCTCATTTCTTATTTATTTCATTGCATGTATCTAACATATGTCTGTTTTTATACAATGTTTTTAGTTTTATAGTATTGCGTAAATAGCTTCAGATGCGTTCGAGACATTCTAAGTGACCTGAAGTGATGAATATTATAGTGTCCAGACCTCTTAATGCTTATGTAGACAACACTATGAGTCCTTCTGATTAGGTCACTTTCTGTTACCAAGATTCTACAGATTCTTTTTCTTTAAAATTAACAATAGTTTTAAAAAGCTAGTTGGACTTTTGTGAATGCTCAATGAATGTTTTGTGCTATATTTCTAGGACAAGCAAGTAAGAGTCTGTCCAAATGGGAACCTTTGAGCATGAATGCACTGATTGAATACAAAGAGCAGATATTGGCAGATGGTTTTGGTGAGTTTCAACATGGGCGCTCTAAGATGTGGAACATGGCTGCTGCATCTTCTCAATAGTTGATTGTTCATTACGTGTGATTTGATATATTGACATGACTCAGTGATGCTTTGTTTGCTGCTAAATCTGACAAAAGTAAATGTTGAAAATAAGAATAACTATTTTTTAAAATGTCAGTTTTATCTAGCGTTAAATAAACTAAATGTTGCTGTACATCACTACCATCTTAGATTCTTTGTAAGATGGTTCCTTTACTGACTGGGATATGTAGGGAATTTACTTAAGGGTATTATGTATGTGTGGGGATAACTAGTTTTGGGCTTTTCTAAATCTGTATGGATTGCACAACAAGGCAAAAATTATTCATCATAACTGGCAGTGTGAAAACATCTATGCACAGTTATGGGGCTCAGCAGCAAGCATCGAGCTTGTTTTAATATTGATTTTGTTACTTTTACAACTAATTGTAAACTTATAGCCTAGATTGAGTATCCTCATTTCAGGCTAGATTTACGTGAAGAGTAACACTCTATCTTTATTATTTTGTTGGTTTTTTTTTTTTTTTTGTTTACGAGTAAGAATAGACGAAGAGTTAACTTGCAAATTCTTTAATTTACTAATGAAATGCTTCAAGATAGTGTTATTATATAGAGTCTGAATTGATCTTGAAAGTGTTATACAACATGTAATGTGTGTATATGACCTTGTTGGCATAATTTAATTTAACATTCCTGTATCAGATACTAATTTAAATTTCTTTTACATTAGAACCTGCCCACACATTCCTATAGATCCGTTGGTTGATCAAAATTGAGGTTTGAGATGGTCCTCTGTCGACCATTTTCCCTCTGAATGAACTTTTGTTGACTTTAACCCTTTCCCCGGCAACATATTTGGTACCCTGTCCCCGGCAACTGGGTGGATCACACCCGGACACTTTTTATAGTAAATTCTTTTCTTTGTTCATTGTGGGGTGGCTAACAATACTGACGCAGTTAAGGTATTCAGGGCATTGTAGCCATGTGAAACACAAGACATGTTATTGTCAATGGGAGAGCTGTAATATGATACTACAGGTTAATGGGATTCTCAAGCAAGAGTTAACCTGTGGGTGGACACATGTAGTGATTTATACTCTTTGCTAGAGCTCAGACTTGCAGTTACAGACAGAACTGTAGTTTAGAGTTACAATAGGTTAATGAAATGCAGGGGTAAGATTGCCTGTGGGAGGACAAATATGGTGATTTGTACTCTTTTAGGGAGCTCTGGAATGTAGATAGAGACAGTCGATCATTTTAGCGTAACTTGACATTAACCTCATTAGTAGTAGGAATGAGGACATAAAGGCAAAACAACTTTATAATGCTGCTTGAAAGTTGATACTGGGCAATGAATTGATCAAACTGGGAGTGTGGTGGGTGTTCGACAGGTTGTGACCCTGAGAGTAAGGTTTATAAATAGTCATAAACGTTATTGAGAACACAACAGAAACAAGTCTTACGCTTTTGTCTAAACTCAAGTGCTAATGATAAAGGAATATATTTGCCAGTTTTAGTATAGCAGGTGAAAATTACCAAGTTTTGAGTCTGAACTATCAGTATCAGAGGTAGAAGATGAAGAATGGCAGCCATCAGTACCAGAGGTAGAAGATGAATGAGGGCAGCCATCAGTATCAGAGGTAGAAGATGAATAGTGGCAGCCATCATTACTTGAAGACAATGCTGGTTCAGTTTCAAGCAGCTCTAATGACGAGGTCTACCCAATATACTGCATTTCAACTCAATAATGTGTCAACAGTTGGCACACATAATGAAATGAAACTGATGGTGCAAAGTGAAGAAAAAGAAATATTTTTCAGGAAAGACAAAGTAACAGTACACCAGACCACTGCCAGAAGTGCTAATCCCAGGAAAATTATAAACAGCCTGACTCAAAAATTTCTTCTGTACATGAATACAAAAAATAATACAACCAATATTTGACTGCATTAGCAGGCATGAAGAGAAAGCAGGAGGAGACACTGGCACTCTGCAGAATAACAATTTAGTTGTATGTCAATTCACTTCTGCTTACGGAGGTTTTTGATGGCATAATTTTTTATGAAGAGATTCAGCAACCTTCTGGGTCATATTCACTCTGAAAACAATAACTAACAGTCCATCAGGCTCATTGTATATTTGCTCCCATTATGGTAGATATTCCATACAAATTTAGCAATGTGTTTTGTTTCTGGAGAGATCATAACTCATTGGGCAACTGGTTGATTTTAGAGATGGGAGTAGATTTATCCAATCAATACCAAGCAACTCCGATCAGTATAGAATTAAAATATTTTAGGCACGTGACTCATGTAACACCACTAAAAAGGTGCCCATATTTTGTCAAAGAAAACAATAGTTCCCTGCCAGCAAAAGGAAATGTCCAGTTATTTTAATTTTATCTAACAACTGTACTCTCTGAGGTGCAAATTATTAAAATGTGTTAATGTTCTATTATTTTATTACTAAAGTTGATTACTTCAAATAGTTCAATCCTGTTTGATATTTTTGTTACTCAAATACCTTCAGATTGTTAATTTATAGTTAAACTTTGAAAATGTAACACAATTACTTAACCCACAATGAGTAAAAACAAATTGTTAGCAGCCAGTTTATAAGTTATAAATATTTTTTCCATTCAAAATTGTGTACGGGTGTGTAGCACCCAGTTGCCAGGGACCGTATAAAAAAATTTCAAACCCTCATAAAAAATTTTTTTACGCATATTTTTAAAATTTCCAACCTCCATTGTGTTCACCCCAACCACCTTATAGATGGGAATGAGGCGCAGAAAAATTAATAAAACGAGACTCGAGATATGAGCAAAAATATAGCGACTTCGGGTGGATTACACCCAGTCGCCGGGGAAAGGGTTAAGCACATATGCTAGATTTGATTTGGGTATTGTTCAAAAGTAGCTTTCAGTGGGATTCATTTGGCCTTAAGACATGCAAGACTATCTTTAATGTGGGAAGGCATTTTTTTTTATTTATACTACACTTTATAAAACACAACTATGTATACATATATATATTTATATTATTTCTAATTATTAAATCCGTCCAAACGGCAAACTTTTTAGCTAAAGTTGCCATATTCAAGTCACTGATTCCTGGTGCTAGTGGCATCGAATAGCGTAAGAATGTGGTGATGAGGGCTAAATGACCATTCAATTTACTTTGTGTGTTTTATTTGCTACATAAAAAGGTCCTGTTTCATTAGAATTTTTTCAACATTGTCTAATGATAGTCCCATAATCATTTGGATGCTGTATAATATTGCTTCTTTTTTTTTTAAATTAATTTTTTTGTTTTACTTATCTAGTTGCACTTTTCCTTTTTGTATAATCTTTAACAATTCATACTCAGCCTGTCAATAAATTCTCTAAAGGGTCATTTTTTATGTATCAATTTGATGAATGATATGTGAGCTTGTGTTATTGTAGTCCTAGTGCCTCACGTGTAGATTAAATGGTTGGTAGTGTGTCACATAGCATGGAAACTCTGCTCAGAAAGGTAATCCAAGCCAAGGGTTTCTTAGCATATTGATGATTTCTCAAAAATAGACAATCTGTACTTGCTGCTTGTGCAAGTATGGTGCTCTGTTCAATTAATTGCACGTGTATTTTAGGGGTGCCCGTAATCCCTTGGGGGAGGGTCAAGCCAGCCACCTATACGCATCTTGCTTCATCGTCTCAGGAAGGCTCGCAATGTTCACCTGGTTCAAGTCGAATGACGTGTAGAAAATAACTGATATAATAACGGGGGGGGGCGGGGCTAGTACTCGTCCTGTGGCTCTTTTTGGAAACTGGTTACAAAAATGTGTGGCATAACTTTACTATAACTATAACATGTAAATCACGAGATTTCATGCAGCTATTAAGCACAATAGTACTAAAATAGTAGCGTCTACTTTTACAACACGTAGATTTATTAACAGATGTATGTTTGTTAATGTTATTCCAAAAAATAACATTTCTATCATGTTATAAAAAAAGCTCGACAGTCTACCGGTAGTACCACTTGACAACAGGGGTGTCCACTGTGTAACTGTGACGTATTTGCTTAAGAATACAGACAAAAAATTACTTAAATATAGTTAGAATCAATCGTTTAATTAATTTTAAAAATTAAAATACATACACAAATGCTGCTGATGTGGCACCTCTATTTAAATTTACTTAGGGTGAACTGGGTGGGTAGCGTTGGAGAAATTTTAACAGCATCATCACGATGAAGTGGTAGTATTATGACAGTTTGGGCGATAGTGATTAAGATTGCAAATTATATGAAACAGCAGCAACTTTAAATTATTCTATTTTACAAGATCTATATTAAATTGCGATAAGGCTATATTTTGTGTTTAAGAAAAACAATTTATAACTATGATCGCATAGTTAATTATCCGTTCAGCTTCTTCTTCGTTCTTAATTATTAGTGTTGAAGGGGATCGAGATTTATCTGCCAGTGGGTTTGAACTCGAGGCTTATGTTCGAATTTATCAACCATGAGCTTTTTGCCGACTCGACCACACCTCCAACACAAGCGTTACGTGTCAACTGGTTATGCGCCATTGTTGAGGCCATTGACTCCGATTTCAGCCTGCTTTTCTTTTTGGATTTGCTTCCATAGCCTTTGTCCAACCAAGGCAGCAGTTGTTTAATTTTGGAGTTGTCTCTCCTAGAAGAGCGGCTGTCACCAGATAACGAGCCTCATCTGCCCGAGGGTTCGAACTCGAGACTTTTCGGTTTAGCAACTATGAGCGTTACCGACTCGACCCCCTATCCGTTCAGCTGTTACGTATCGTTTGAATTAGTTTCGAATAGTTAGTAGTAGTTATCAAAATGTAATCGCTCCATATAAATTCTTTGGTGTATTAATTGCGACTAAGACAACGTTGGCATTTAGAATTCGTTAGTTGGGATGTTATTAAATGGAAAGAAAATCTGAAAATAAAGAAGAAATATTCAGGGTGGGAGAGGAAGAAATTGAAAGACATTTCAGGTCGCCAACAAACATCCAAATATGTCAAACTGGAGACATATATTTCAAGCTGTACGCTTTAACAACTTCGACAACAATACAACCTCAGGTTGATGTGTCTCAAGATACCCAAGTACAAAATATACAAGCAACCACATCATCTCATATGCAGAACCAAGTCTCGAGACTCAAGACAATAGACTCAAGTTTCTTCCATGCGTCGTAGCGCCACAATTTAAGATACATTATTTGTGGTTTGCTGTGTTTCTTCCAGACTTTTTTCTCCCGGGGGGGGGGGGGGGGGGGGGGGGGGTGGACGGACGGACACTGTTAAAAGTATATATTTTCTATGTAAATTCCATTTCGCGGGGGCGATAGACTTTCTCCCCCCCCCCCTCCCCAAGAGATGCCTGGAAGAAATTCTGGTGGTATGTGTTCGTGGAGTAGGGAAATTCTCAGTCTGCTGAGGTTTGTAACTGGTATTACTACTCTACTATGCGTGTAAATCTAGGGTGCTGAATGTCGTATCTCACCAAAAAAGTCATAGTTATAGCTACAGTTCTACATAGCGTAACAGGATCGCCATCTCACGAAAAGCACGGCATGTGTCTGTAGTTAAGGTGTCAGTTAAGTGAGGGCCAGTGGGACTGTGCCTAAAGCTGGACCCCATCCACCCCACCCGCTCTGTAAGCCACTGTCTGAAAACTATGGAAGTACTAGGGACCTTTTAAGGATTTTAAACTATGTTCTACAGCAGAAATGAAACTGGATTTACCATTATCTTTTAAAAATTATTTACATAGAACAAATATTAAATTTCCAATGTAAAATTTAATTTAACAGAAAAGAGAAAAAAATGCCTACTAATTCGGTCCAAATTTAAATTAATTCAAAATTTTTTTGTGACCGAACGAAAGTATATTTTTGAAAACTTTCTTCGGCAATATTGTTCTAAATTATGGCAGGAATCGATTGGTACATGTTTCAAGTCGCTAAGTGGTCTGGTTGCCGAGATATGGGCCAAAAACTGCATTTTTTTCGAGGTTTTTTGGCTTTTCCGGGAAATCCATGAAAGAAACCCGGAATTTTTTTGGCCTATGTTCATCCTCGTAACTTGCTTAACATAATTGCTTTTGGAACTAGTCCTCGATATTGCTTCGTTGAGGAGGAGATACGACTTAAAGCTGCGGACACACATTCATTCATACATTCATACATCCAGAAATGACGGGTTAATAAACGCAATTCTCCAGAATGGAAATTGCGCTAAAAAGGGCCCCTTTGTTCCTTGGGCCCCTAGGCATTGCTTATGCTAGCTTTACGGTAGTTACGCCGCTGCCGGGTATGCAAAGACTTAATAAGGTATATATCAGCCTAAATTTTAAATAAGATAGTAGGAGAAATTAAAATAGCTATAAGCTAGGTGATTATAGATTCAACTATTGACATAAGCAGAATGGATCCATTGTATATCCGATATATTGCTGAACATGAAAAGATAAAGATTTATTCAATTTTGTGAGCTTCCTGAAGCAAGTGCAGAGTTTGTTTTTTTTTAAAACGCTTCTTACAGCAGTCACAGATTTAGGGCTGTCAATGACCATGTGCTATGGTCAGTCCTACGATGGAGCAAACACCATGTCTGGTGAAATATCAGGCCTACGAAAAAGAGTTAGGGAAATAGCTCCACACGCACTCTTTACACACTGCTGTGCTCATAATTTAAATTTAATTCTCACAGATGCTGTTTCATCTAATATTCATACACAGCTATTTTTTGGAGTTCTGGGTATGTATTTTACTTCACGAAAGTCAACACTTCAGATTAAAAGAAGCTTTTTTTTCTACCCCTTTTGGCAGTGTTTCTTCCAGAATTTTTTCTCCGGGGGGGGGGGGGGCACTTGAAATTTTCGGGGGGGGGGGCGGTAAACTTTTTTCGGGGGGGGGGGGGGGGCGGACACTGTTAAAAGTATATATTTTCTATATAAATTCATTTCGTTCGGGGAGGGGGGGGCGGTAGACTTTCTTCGGGGAAAGGGGGGGGGTGGAGCCCCATCGAAGAGATGCCTGGAAGAAACTCTGGCACCAAGTTAGGGAAAACTAACGTCCACGTTGTTTTTACTCAAACCACAAGATTAACGCTGCTTAAAACCACAAGATTAACGCTGCTTAAAACCACAAGATTAACGCTGCTTAAAACCACAAGATTAACGCTGCTTAAAACCACAAGATTAACGCTGCTTAAAACCACAAGATTAACGCTGCTTAAAACCACAAGATTAATGCTGCTTAAAACCACAAGATTAACGCTGCTTAAAACCACAAGATTAACGCTGCTTAAAACCACAAGATTAACGCTGCTTAAAACCACAAGATTAACGCTGCTTAAAACCACGTGGCCATGTGCGACATTACAGCTGATAGTACCAATCGTTATTAGCAAAACTAATTAAAACGATATTTAAATGAGCTGGTTAAAACATTGACCTGCCCAGTGGTTCTCACGCACACTTTAGGGTGCTTGTTGGTTTAGGAACACATTAGGGTGCTTGTTGGTTTAGGAATGAGTGGGGGCGTGGTAATCGTGCAAACATTGTCAGTTATACAAGTAGGCCTGTAGGCCTACGGATTACTGGTGCTTTAGAGGTAACTGGTGCTTTACATCAGAGGCGTAGCGAGGGGGGGGGGGGACATATGTCCCCGGGCGCCGACCTTAGGGGGCGCCAAAATGGGTTGGAAAAAACAAATCGAAAGTTTGTCCCCGGGCGCCAGGAAGGGTCGCTACGCCTCTGCTTTAGATAGAGCAGCGAGAGATGCCATGTTGTAAATGTAAGATACGGTAGAAAATGTGGGAATCATTGGTATAATTAAGCTATTCAGATGGATCTCGGTGTTAAATCTAGAGCATGTTGTTTGGCAGAAACGAAAGGTAAGTTTGATTTCGTTTCGTCAGGACTGTCTGCGTCTACATTAATGTTCAACAAGTACTGCTATAGTTGGTATAATGTTCTTAGCTTTGTGTAGCCAACCGGTGTGTTGTTTGGGTAGCCAACCCATGTGTAGTTTGGGTAGCCAACCCATGTGTAGTTTGGGTAGCCAACCCGTGTCTTGTTTCGGTAGCCAACCCGTGTGTAGTTTGGGTAGCCAACCCATGTGTAGTTTGGGTAGCCAACCCGTGTGTTGTTTGGGTAGCCAACCCATGTGTTGTTTGGGTAGCCAACCCGTGTGTAGTTTGGGTAGCCAACCCGTGTGTTGTTTGGGTAGCCAACCCATGTATTGTTTGGGTAGCCAACCCGTGTTGTTTGATTCGCCAACCTAATTGTGATTGCTTTAACTAACTTGATTATCGGATGGCGGTAGATTTCTTGAACTAGCTTGATTATCAAAAAGAATGTTCTATACACATTATAATTCCTGTGTCCACAAGACACAGGTGATTAACTTTATGTTAATTTGGTCGTGTGTCATGAATAAAACGGTGAGAAAACACACGAGTCGCTTTCATTATGCCGAGGATGGAGCGTGAAATTGGTTGGTTAAAAAATAGCCTACATTTTTTTTAGAGCCTGTCCTAACATAAGGTTTAGAAAATTATTTGATGGACAAATGGATGACTTGTAACAAAGTGTGGTCTGAACATGATGTGTAACAAAGTGTAGTCTGAACAAGAGTAACAAGGTGTGGTCTGAATATGAGTAACAAAGTGTCGTCTGAACATGATGTGTAACAAAGTATGGTCTGAACATGATGTGTAACAAAGTATGTTCTGAACATGATGTGTAACAAAGTATGGTCTGAACATGAGTAACACGGTGTGGTCTGAATATGAGTAACAAAGTGTCGTCTGAACATGAAGTGTAACAAAGTATGGTCTGAACATGATGTGTAACAAAGTATTGTCTGAACATGATGTGTAACAAAGTATGGTCTGAACATGATGTGTAACAAAGTATGGTCTGAACATGATGTGTAACAAAGTATTGTCTGAACATGATGTGTAACAAAGTATGGTCTGAACATGATGTATAACAAAGTATTGTCTGAACATGATGTGTAACAAAGTATTGTCTGAACATGACGTGTAACAAAGTGTGGTCTAGATCTGACGTATAACAAAGTGTGATCTAGACATGACGTTTAAAAAATTGTGATCTAGACGTTACGTGTAACAAAGCGTGATCTAGATAATTATAGCGTGTAAAAAAGTATGTTAGGCCTTATATACACATAAGATTACAGATGTCGAAATGTAAAAAAAGAAACTGAGTCTAACAAAATCCAAACGTTGGAAATGTGAGCTACATATAGAAGAAAGTAAGTTTATAACTCTTTAATTTTAAATACTGTTTTTGTCCGCAATGCTGGTAATTTTTAGAAATAAAAAAAAAGTATAGAGCCTGCATTTCCTCATAATAAAACGTGTAATGGGAAAATTATGAAGTTCGAGGGTTTTTTTTATAAAGGAAGTTAGATAATCATTTAAATTTATAGCATGTTCAAAAAAAAAAATAACCCATCGTTTTTGATAGCCTGGTTTAAGTTTCCTTGTCAATTAGTAATGTAACAAGATTGACACTTCCTTGTAAACGTAGAGCCTACTGTGAAAAGATCGACATCCATTTGGGACCAGAGTTTCTTCCAGACATGTCTTCGTTGCAGTGTTTCTTCCAGACTTTTTTCTCCGGGGGGGGGGGGCACTTGAAATTTTCGGGCGGGGGGGGGGGGCGGACACTGTCAAAAGTATATATTTTCTCATTTCGTTCGGGGGGGGGGGGCGGTAGAATTTTTTCCGTGGTGGGGGGGGGGGGCTTTGCCCCGAAGAGATGCCTGGAAGAAACTTTGCTTCGATGGGGGGTGGGGGCGCCTGTCCCACTCCCCCTGAAGAAAATCTACCTCCCCTGAACGAAATGGAATTTATTTAGAAAACATATAGGCCCCTACTTTTATCAGTGATGCTTATCTATAGTCGGTTGTTAATACAACTGGATGTAGCATTGTTTTCTCTATAGTTTGCATCTGTACGTCATGGGGTCACCATCCTCCCCTCCCTTCTCGGGGTCGTCATTATGTAGGCTACTTAAATTACTTTTTAACTATAATTGACTTTAAAAAAAAAAACATTTATTCTATAGACTATAGGCCTATATCTTGCAATTTTTTTGTCTTGGTGTCACCCCCTTAAATGGTGTCACCTGGTGCGGTCCGCATCCCCGCCCCCGCCTCTCTCTCTCTCTCTCTCTCTCTCTCTCTCTCTCTCTCTATATATATATATATATATATATATATATATATATATATATATATATATATATATATATATGCAGTGGCGTAGCTAGGTCGGGTGTCACCAGTTGTTTATCTATTTATCTGTACATTTAGCAATTTTTTGCCCCCTAAATGGTGTCACCCGGTGCGGTCCGCATCCCCCGCCTATAATTGAACACAAATAAGACAACGATTATCAATGTCAGTGAATCTATTTATAACTTCTTCCACCACCCCATCCCATATAAATCAAAGTGGTATTTCAATTGTAAAATAGTAAAGCACGATTGCTGGATCTAAACTGTATATACTGGCCTATATAACGTTTTTTTTTTTAAAAATAAGACCAAAGTATCTGTGTTCCGCGTAATCAAACCGACTTTGTGAACTATAAAGATAACTGTAAACATTGAAGCTTTGGTGTGTAAGGTTTAAGTTAAAGTGCTTTAGCTCTAATAATAATGTGCTTGAGTTTATTTTTGAAAAGTTTGACGTCGCAGCCATCTGAGACGATTAAAAAAAAAACCCACGCGATTCTCGTCCTGTTACAGTTGAATTCATGAAATCATCGAAAGCTGTAGGCCTATGTGCTGTTGCTCATTTTTTGTAAAATGTAGAGAAAGTGACTCTAGAAAGGAATCATTTAAATGCTATACATTCGCATAAAGTACACGGGCATGTAAGTAGGCAGATGCTAAGAGTAATTTCTTTTACATTTGTTTGAGGGGTGTAGGACAAAAGGCCGACATACAAAAGGCCGACAAGACATAAGGCCGACACGGACAAAAGGCCGACACGGACAAAAGGCCGACACGGACAAAAGGCCGACACGGACAAAAGGCCGACACGGACAAAAGGCCGACACGGACAAAAGGCCGACACGGACAAAAGGCCGACACGGACAAAAGGCCGACACGGACAAAAGGCCGACACGGACAAAAGGCCGACACGGACAAAAGGCCGACACGGACAAAAGGCCGACATGGACAAAAGGCCGACAAACCATAAGGCCGACAAACCATAAGGCCGACAAACCATATGGCCGACAAGCATAAAAAATACTAATATCGCAAAATATGTGTTACTGCATAGCTCCTATCTTGACAACCAGCGACATAAGACATGAAAAAAGGTGAAACGTTCAAGTCAAAAGCCGCCGGCATTATCGCCCACATGCAACAAGGTGAGGCTAGCTGCCATACTTATAAGGTGGACAATGGGGTCCATGTGACTAGGGATGACGGTAGTGTACAAAGGATAAACAGATAGGTGGTGTTACCACCATATTTTGCAAAGAAATCAAAGAAAACGGATGAAGTAGAACAAATCGCGTGCCTTGACTGGACTACACGACGTTAAAAACAGACAAAATTTGAATTGTATTTTAGTTTCGTCCATTGCGAATTGCGTGAAAAAAAGTGTATACTATATTCGTTGGATTCATTAATTATATTGTGATTCAGTGGCGTAGCTACCGTAAAGCTAGCGTAAGCAAGGCATAGGGTCCCAAAGCAAATAGGGGGCCCTTTTTCGAAAGTCAGAGGGGGGGGGGGGGGGTGTGCAAATCGAAAGTCTGAGGGTGGGGTGCAAATCGAAAGTTTGAGGGGGGGGGTGCAAATTGAAAGTTTGAGGGGCCCAAAAATCATAGAAACTTAAAAAGTCGTATATAATTACATATTTTAGATATTAAAAATGCCTGTGATTGTAGTTTGTTATTTATAAAACTTGTCGGCCTTTTGTCGTGTCGGCCTTTTGGATGTCGGCCTTTTAGCAGTCGGCCTTTTGTCTTGTCGGCCTTTTGGATGTCGGCCTGTTAGCAGTCGGCCTGTTAGCAGTCGGCCTTTTGTCTTGTCGACCTTTTGGATGTCGGCCTTTTGGCAGTCGGCCTTTGTCTTGTCGGCCTTTTGTCCATGTCGGCCTTTTGTCCATGTCGGTCTTTTGTCCGGATCCCATATAGACGTATAGACACCTCCCTGTCTTGGATTAGAATTAAATTTTGGGAGCTCTACCAAATGTTGTGGACGTTCACATTGTGGGCGGGGTGGAGGGGGGGGGGGGGCGAGAGGACAGGAAAGGGGTCTAATATTTTGAAAGTAAAAAAAAAACCTCATAAAAATGTAGGTAGGCCTAGAGGGCCTATGACGTAATCATTTTAAACTATAAATGGCAGTCGCAGTCTACTCGCAGTAACGAAACTATTGTTTGTGAACTTTAACCTTTGCTTTATGCTTATTGTACTAAAATAGGTAGAGTTAGAATATCCATAAACTAGATCTAGATCTAGTATAGATCTAGATCTAACTCTATAGAGTCCTTGCAAACACGTGACCTAAATCACGTGATACCTACGCCCGCCGCCACAGTGGTGTACATCAGACGTAAACACAATCAGCTGTTCGCCAGCGCTGGACGTGTTCACCAGCGCTGGACGTGTTCACCGTATGTAAAGAATCGCGCCCGCGGAAAAGGAAAAATACGTTAAAAAACTTGAACTCTTAGGAATTGAAGATCCTTATACAGTTATTGACAGTTTCGTGGATAATATAAATATGTGGCCGAAATTTCTAAATAAAAATACTGCTAGTAATACCGTTTGCGTTTAGAGTTTAAGTAGACGAAGCTGATCAAATGGAGTAATATATTATAGGTTATCTACTGTAGCAAACGTGAGACCACTTAACTCCTACAAAACCCACACTACAATGGCTAATATAATCCATGGGTAATAACCAATCTGGGTAGCATGTTATACAATTTAAGACCCTTATAATCCAGCAGGGAAGTAATCAGACACATTAATACTGACGTATGGCTGCCCCCACCTGTATCTAGCCCACAATAAAACCAAAGAGGAGTCTGCCCTGCCCTCCCCTGAAAATGTCTCACCTCCGTGATACCCAGCCCCACAGAGATAGTTTTTCTTATATAATTTTGACCCTCAGGGCCCAGCAGGGAGAACAAAGGGGAAAGTCCCACTGCTCTCCCCTCAACACTTCTCACCTCGGTGTCATGTTATGTCATTTATAGCACACATGGCTTATCAGGGGAAAGCATTAAGGCATTAAGAATCTTAACTCTGGACAGCTACACACTAGTATACTAGCTACACACTAGGTGCCTACTGTAAACTACTAGACTGTAGGCCCTATGTAGACCTGCAATTGTATCAATTGTAGACTGGGTCCATTGTTATTATTCTAAACCATCTCACTTATAATGTTTCTAGCTTGATTTGTTTCTTTTATAAACAGTGGATTTAAAAAAAATTTGCCTAATCATTAACCAAATAATAATAATGTGGTTATTTGTTGTTGGCTGGTATGATCTAGATTGTACTACTAGGCTACAAAAACTTAGCAGACCAATTACTAGATATGAATTTGAATTTAATTAAACTCAGTCCAGTATCAGATACATATTGCTGTAAAAAGACAACAAAGTAGGTAGGCCTTAGTAATTTATTAAAGCCTTCTACTACAATAATATCAACTACATGCTTGTATAAAGTTTTTACAATTTAATTTAAGTAGCAGATTCTAGATCTAAGTCTAGTCATACAATCTATTTCAATTTCAGAAAATTTCGTTTGCTAAAAAAATGATTAGATAATAGGGCGAGATTTTAGATCTTAGAGACAATTAAATGCCTTATTAGGCCTATTATGACTACTTTTGATTTATTATGGGTGTATTTTGAATCGAATGTAGATCTAAACTAATTAAATTTAAGTAAAGAAGTAGATTCTAGATTCTATGTCTACCCAGCGGAGCCAGGTATTAGGCCTACTATTAGATCTTATTATTCTTATTATTACTTTTGACTTTGTCTTTTACTATTAGTATTTGTGAAGGTCGAGCATATTTGTTTTATTAATAGTTATCTTTTATAATTAAAATGAAGTTTATTATTTTACTGTCCTTACCTGAAACAAAGTATCGAGAACTGCATTTGATCAGATTCGTCTACTTTAACTCTAAACGCAAACAGTATTACTAACAGTATTTTTATTTAGAAATTTTGTCCACATATTTATATTATCTACGAAACTGTCAATAACAGTATAAGGATCTTCAATTCCTAAGAGTTCAAGTTTTTTAACGTATTTTTCCTTTTCCGCGGGTGCGGTTCTTTACATACAGTGAACGCGTTCAGCGCTGGTGAACACGTCCAGCGCTGGCGAACAGCTGATTGTGTTTACGTCTGGTGTACACCACTGTGGCGGCGGGCGTAGGTATCACGAACGGACGTGACGTCATATGAAAGGACTCTATACTAGTCTATACATAGAGATCTAGTTCTAGTACTGTAGTAGTATTGGCGCCGCGAATTTTTCGCTTCTATAGGCCTAATAATATTAATATTATATTATAAAAAAAAAGGTCTATTCTAGGTCCTAGTTTCATAGACATAGTCTACAGTCTAGTATCATAGTATGGTTATTTTACTAATAGTATTAGTATTAGAGCTAGTGTATGGTTATAGCAATAGTATAATATACTAGAATCTAGATCTATAAGTACACTAACTCACTAAACGACAAGTAACTATTCTTATTACTTACTATGTACCTATAAAATATGGCCAATACTGGCCTATACTAGTAACTAGATCTATAAGAGTTTAAATAAAGGGGTGCCCTGGCTATATGGTATAGTATCCTACTATTAGTAATTTACTGAAATGTTCTAAATTTTGTTATTCTGTCAGTGTGTGTGTGATTCATTAATCATTAAATCATTGTTTGCTTGCAGATTGCAGACATGATCATCATTAGGCCTAAGTCATAGTTATAACCATTGACAATCTCATAAAGTATGATTTCAGACAAGTAAGGCATCTGATAGCTACTAATTTTTTAAATTGTAATTATTAATAAGATAATCATTTATTTATACAGATGTAGGACTTGACTATAACCGTTTTCACAGGTCAAGAAACAAAATGATGTGGGCTTAGAATAGCTCTCAGTAGTAGTTTAAGTAAGGGGGGGGTGTTAGGGGAATGATAAACCCTTCCATACTCCACTCCCCGTTCAATTTTTTTTTAATAGCATAAAACCACTGCTACTTTCTTACATATTGGAATATTTCTTCTTCTTCATTCTTAATTTTAGTGTTGGAACAGATTCACTCCTACACAATTAAGTATTCATGTCAACCGGTTATGCGCCATTGAGGCCATTGACTCAGATTTCAGCCTGCTTTTCTTTTTGGATTTGCTTCAATAGCCTTTGTCCAACCATGAACAAACTACAAGGCAGCTGTTGTTTGATTTTGGAGTTGTCTCTCCTAGAAGAGTTGCTGTCCCTAGCAGTTGAGCCTCATCTGCCAGAGGGTTCAAACTCGAGACTTTTTGATTTAGCAGCCATGAGCTTTACTGACTCGACCACACCCACCCCTATTTTGGAATATAAATATAGGGAAAATGTTTGAACAACACTGTAAAATCAAATCCTGGTTACACCACTGCCTCATAGAACAAACACAAGCACAATCAGTTACAGCATTCTATTCATTCCATCACTGCCTCATAGAACAAACACAAGCACAATCGGTTACAGCATTCTATTCATTCCATCACTGCCTCATAGAACAAACACAAGCACAATCGGTTACAGCATTCTATTCATTCCATCACTGCCTCATAGAACAAACACAAGCACAATCGGTTACAGCATTCTATTCATTCCATCACTGCCTCATAGAACAAACACAAGCACAATCGGTTACAGCATTCTATTCATTCCATCACTGCCTCATAGAACAAACACAAGCACAATCGGTTACAGCATTTTGTTCATTCCATGAGAGTTTGTTCTACAAAATATGATTTCTCACACATTTATTATTTAATGTCACAGTATTCGTAAGAAATTCTTTCAATTTCCTTGGAGATTCTTTAGCTGCATTTTCCCCTCATGGGACAGCATGTACTGGCCTAGCAGTAGAGCGCTAGACTGCTAACCTGAAAAAGTTTGAACTGGCCTAGCAGTAGAGCACTAGACTGCTAACCTGAAAAAGTTTGAACTGGCCTAGCAGTAGAGCACTAGACTGCTAACCTGAAAAAGTTTGAACTGGCCTAGCAGTAGAGCACTAGACTGCTAACCTGAAAAAGTTTGAACTGGCCTAGCAGTAGAGCGCTAGACTGCTAACCTGAAAAAGTTTGAACTGGCCTAGCAGTAGAGCACTAGACTGCTAACCTGAAAAAGTTTGAACTGGCCTAGCAGTAGAGCGCTAGACTGCTAACCTGAAAAAGTTTGAACTGGCCTAGCAGTAGAGCACTAGACTGCTAACCTGAAAAAGTTTGAACTGGCCTAGCAGTAGAGCACTAGACTGCTAACCTGAAAAAGTTTGAACTGGCCTAGCAGTAGAGCACTAGACTGCTAACCTGAAAAAGTTTGAACTGGCCTAGCAGTAGAGCACTAGACTGCTAACCTGAAAAAGTTTGAACTGGCCTAGCAGTAGAGCACTAGACTGCTAACCTGAAAAAGTTTGAACTGGCCTAGCAGTAGAGCACTAGACTGCTAACCTGAAAAAGTTTGAACTGGCCTAGCAGTAGAGCACTAGACTGCTAACCTGAAAAAGTTTGAACTGGCCTAGCAGTAGAGCACTAGACTGCTAACCTGAAAAAGTTTGAACTGGCCTAGCAGTAGAGCACTAGACTGCTAACCTGAAAAAGTTTGAACTGGCCTAGCAGTAGAGCACTAGACTGCTAACCTGAAAAAGTTTGAACTGGCCTAGCAGTAGAGCACTAGACTGCTAACCTGAAAAAGTTTGAACTGGCCTAGCAGTAGAGCGCTAGACTGCTAACCTGAAAAAGTTTGAACTGGCCTAGCAGTAGAGCACTAGACTGCTAACCTGAAAAAGTTTGAACTGGCCTAGCAGTAGAGCGCTAGACTGCTAACCTGAAAAAGTTTGAACTGGCCTAGCAGTAGAGCACTAGACTGCTAACCTGAAAAAGTTTGAACTGGCCTAGCAGTAGAGCGCTAGACTGCTAACCTGAAAAAGTTTGAACTGGCCTAGCAGTAGAGCACTAGACTGCTAACCTGAAAAAGTTTGAACTGGCCTAGCAGTAGAGCACTAGACTGCTAACCTGAAAAAGTTTGAACTGGCCTAGCAGTAGAGTGCTAGACTGCTAACCTGAAAAAGTTTGAACTGGCCTAGCAGTAGAGCGCTAGACTGCTAACCTGAAAAAGTTTGAACCTGGGTTGAAGTCAGTGTCACTGTATACTAAACTAATACAAATTTAATATGTCCTTTTAAAAAACAGTTCATACTGGTTACAACTAACTGAATGTTGCATCAGTCATGTTGGAATACACCCCTAGTTTACATATAATTGAAAAGCTCTTAAGTAATGCTTTAACTAAATAACTAGCAACTGACATTTGTTGGGGGGGGGGGGGGGGGGGGGAGTTATGATAGAAAGTCCAAAAGTTTGGCTAAAATGACAATTTGGTTCAGGATATGATGAGACTAAGATGTGATGTTTACCGGACAAAAAATTACTAATATTGTTATAATATATATATACTTAATTTTACGCACAAGTAGGTACTTGATTACTTTAGTTATATGGTAATCATGTTGTCTTGTTATTGACCAATCAAACTTGATATGTTTTATGTTACTAAATCCTTGACACTTGATCACCATAACCATTTTTCCTCCAGTAAAGCACTTTCAAGAAGAGTGTAATGGCTACTGAACATGATGCAGCAAGGTAGCATGGATAAAGAAAGTATCCTCTGGTCAAGTCAGATCACTCCAGTGAACCAGGGGAAAATGATTGTTGACACAGAAGAAGTGGTTTTACTTTTGAGATCTTTACAGTCCTCATCTGAGCACAACGAAGTGACAGCAGCATTAAAGAAAATTGATGCTTTTTTCCACTTAGGTACATTTTCTTCTCTACCTGCCTGTTAATTATATCAAAAGTAATTAGTAGCAGCAAATCGTATCAGACTACAGAAACAAAACTAACGTCATAAAATAAATTGATTTGTTTCCCTTTCCCCTAGTATTGTTTTGTATTTTCTTAGCATTACAGACATCCAAAATTAGCCAATTATTAATAGCAGATTTTATAATATTGAATCTTGGGTAGATACTTCTATAAGTATAGAAAAAACTTGATATTTATTTAAACTACAACAGTTAGTATTCTAAACAAGATCTATTCTTAAAAGAATTCTCTATTAACTAAGACAGTAAAAATGGTATTAAATAATTCAAATGTAGCACCCAAATACCTAGAAGACAAGTCTGTTTATACATCAGTGCTGTCAACCATGACCCATATGATGAATGATATGGAAATCCAACAGGTTTGTTTATTTAAATATCTCTATAGGTCCACCGTAAACACTCCCCACCGTAAACACTATGTAGTTAATTTTTCAGATTTGTTTCTTTCATGCACTTGTTTATTTAACTGTATACCTAAATCATGTACACAGTACAAAATTGTATAATTCAATACAAATATTTTATTTTATCTTTTCCTATAGCTGGGCTTGGAAATGTTGCACAAATTTATGGTTGGTAGTAAAATAATAGAGGACAAACTGATGAGAAAAATGGAGGTAACTAAGTAAGTAGCTTGACTAAGTTCTATAGACAAAAATTGGATTGAAAAAGGTATCACAAGAAGACATAAATATGATACATCAGAGGAAAAAGAATTGTGTTCAATTAGAAGAATGGGAAAAATAATTTTATGTTAAAGATTAAAAACAAGTTTTTTTTTAGGGTTATAGTTATGTTAAAATTTGTTTTAAACTTATGTCATGTCCCCATCAATAATTATCCTCCTTTCTTTCTTACAGTCACATTATTAAACTATTGAGTCATAATCAAGATCAAGTAATCTACACAAGATCAATGCTTTTACTAACTAAGCTGTTGGTATCAGGTAACTTATTGTATTCCAATTTTAAACAGCTGAAAGAAAACATCCTGCAGGATTTAAGTATTTATTTATTTAAGGATTCAACCAACTTTAAATTCTAAATTCAACCAATTTATAATCTCACCTATATGACAGCCTATGACTGGTGTTTATTATCAATCTAGTGTTATTTTCAATAACGCATCTACTGTTTTTTGTTAGCTCCATTTGACAGCTGGTTAACCATCACACCATCTGCTACTGATTTAGTATAACATACAGTCAGTAATAAAAAATATTTGTAAACATATGTGTAGTTTATCTCTGGTTTAAATTAATTAAATATTATTTTTGCACTTTTGTAATAATTATGTGCTTGGATTATTAGTCAAGAATTTTAAAATTCTCCTTAGATCACTTGAGGAAACAGATCTCAGACAGCAAACATTGGCCAAAGCTAATGTCTATTCTCATGGCTGCAATCACCCAAGGATCCAGAGATTTATCTTATGATTCAGATTCAATGCTTTATTCACTTACGGTTCTTGGAACTGTTTTAAAAGAAGGCATGCAAGATTTTTTTTTTTACTTGAGTTTTATTATTTTCTTGATTGCTCTGCTGTCATATCTACATTTTATTAAAAAAAATATCTCTTTACTGTTACTTTTTAACCACATTAAATATAAGAAAAATTGACTGTATTACAGAACCTGAGCAGCAGTATGTACTAGCCAAGAAACATTTCTATACACTTGTTGATCTGTTCAAGCTACCTGGTGTTAAAGCAAATATTGTCACTGTGCTAATCAAAATACTTCGTATTACTGCCACCTCTGGTTGGTGATTTCTTGAAGTTTTGCTCTTGAAATTCTGCTGTGTTAATTAATGATGGAGAAAATTTGAATGCCTTAAATGTTTTTTTTTTAAATTTTGGATTCTAAGTGCGTTATTTTATTGTTATAGATGAGGCTGTTGCGCTCATTGGGCTATCTGTGATCAATGTTGTCAGGACAGCCATAACAACTTGGAAAACTGATAGAGCTGTTTTGATTGAAAGCTTCAACCTTTTGGCTAAACTTTCAGAAAATGGTCAGTTGATTTTTTAGTCACATTAATGATGAATTCCTATAATAAAAGTATAGAAAATGTCAAACAGTAGTAAATAATTGTTTTAATAAATGTTTACAGTTATTCTATTTATCTAGAAAATTGTATCGTTCTTAGAAAAATGCAGCCAGAAGCTGGTAGAGAAAGGAATATTGATGGACATTTTATTACCTGAGTTGTTGTCAAGATCTGATGAACCAAAGATACAAATATTTGGCCTGCAGATTTTTCTTTCTACTGGTACATTAAAATTTTTTTTTATCTAAAGCTTCTTATTTTAAAAATAATGTTAGAAATCAAACACATTTAGGTTTGCTATAAATATATAACCGTTATAAGATTTTTTTAGTTTACATGTTTATATATCAGACTGAGGGTGTATTTATTCTAGCATGCCTAGAGTTTGTGCCAGCATTTGTAGAGTTATTTTTAAATGTTTAAAAAAGTATTATTGGTTAAATTTCAGCAGAACATCAGTTTTCCTTTCTAATAAATGTTAAAGGATGCTTAATATCATACACTATTTTATTATTTTCTTTAGCTGATTTTCTCTTTCAAGAGAGCTCTGTGACACACAGTGCTCCCCATTGGTTGAAAGTTATTTACCTGGCTATGTCAAAAAACAGAACCAAATCTTCTATACAGGTAGCTCTTGTAACTTTGCCTTACACACCTTTTTCAATTATAGTATATAGATCTATATATTATAAATAGTTATTTACAGTTATCCCAAGCCACTTGATATTTCATGTATTATCAGATCAATTTATATTTCAGGCATTTGGTTGTAAGGCATTATCCAAGCTATTGGAATGTAAGCCAGAAGTGTACATCTGGATTGGGGAGAGTTCAGATTTGCAGCAGTAAGTCACCACTTATAATTCAATGTTTGAAATACATATAAATGTATCCATAATTGTGTTTTAAGCTGTGTGTTTAATGAGTGAGTAATAATTCGTGAAAATTGAATGTCTAAGTTTTATATTGTTTCAGAGACCCTATCCACACACTCTGTCTTGGAGCAATTCTCATGTATGAAAAAGATGAAGATGTATTTGCCTCTGCTTGTAAATCTATTTATTATCTGACTGCTGACAATGGTTGGTTGACCAAAATTTTTCGGTGATTTTAATTTTTTATTGGTCCAAAATAATTGGTAACAAAACTTTTTTGTTGTGTAAATTATAACTGAATAACATTTGTAAAATTATAAAATATGTATTCATAATTTTTTAGTTTTAAAATGTGTCACCATTAACGTGGTTATTTCCCTTGTGAACTATCAGATGGGCTGTGTAGAACTCTGATGGAGAAAAACTCTCACATTGCTGTCATTGAAGGTTTGCGCCATCACATGAGGAGTGCTAAAGCTGTCAGTGCTGCATGTAGAGCCATTAGGGGCCTCAGCATTTTTCAGTAGGTTTTGTTTCCTGACGTTATTGTTTTCTGTGTTTTGAAACATTGATGATAATCATACATTTGTTTTAAAATTTTATTTAGGAATAATCACAAACTAAAAATGGCTGAATATGATGGAGACCTGCTCCAGCTTTTGGCTGCGATCATCAAGAATTTCCACTCTGACGCAGAGGTTCAAAGTGAGGTCATCAGCACAATCGCATGTCTTGCAGACATCGGTAATATAACGCCATCTTTTGTTTTTACCATAATATAAGCTACCAAAAAATAGGGTTTGAAGATGTATCAAAATGTTTGTATACTACTATGTTGCTACTAACAAAAAAGTTAACATTCTAAAAATGTTAATATATATTCATCCCTAGTCACATTGTAAATGGCTATGAAGGTGGAATGTCTTTATCTTGGCTGTTGTTTATCTTACAGATCTTGTTCGTCACCAGTGTTTTGTTATAGACATTCACCTGCATGTCCTTAAGGCTATGGATGACTTCCCAGGGGATGAATACTTACAAGAGGCCGCCATTGAAGCTTTGGCAGTTCTAGGGGGAGCAGGTAAGGGCTTACAGATTAAATTACTGACCAAAAAGTCATGTATTAATTAGAAAAAATTCCAGTGCTAAAGGTTTATCAATATTTCATAGACAATGTTTTTTTTAAAAGTTGAAATAGTTCTTTGTGGTGGATGTGGTAGTGAAAATGATTTTCCATTTTTTCTGTTTATCAAATAAATGTTGGCACATAAATATTTTTGACATTGTTATAGCTCAAAGAAATCTATTATGTAACAGCAGTTTTGTTTTACAGCCAGTGGCTCAGAAATCTTGAACGCTCACAGAGCAGTGGACAAGGTCATCAAATGTTTGAAAAGATTTGTCTACAATGGCAGTGAGTTTTCTCTTTTTTCCCCAGTAAACTTTAAGCTTGTATACTTGATTACACACACAATTTTATCATTTATTACAGAAGAGCATTATACTAGTTTTGACCTAGCTTCGCAGTAAAATCAATTTTTAAAATATACAATTTTACATTTCTGTATACATGATCAGTAAGCCTATAATATAGATTTATATTGAAAACTCCAAATACTATATTTACTCTATATAAGTTTAAAAAAAAACGTTTTTTGACACTGTGGGGTATGTTGTGTGCAGACATCCAGAAAAAAGGTCTGTGGGCCATCCAGATCTTGGCAGACTGCCAGCTTGTCCAGTCAGCTGTCATGTGCAAGGAACTGGCCGCAATCATCAAATCAACCATGAAAAATTACCCAGAATCCTTAGTCATCCAAAAAGAAGTTAGTATTTTGTCTTTAAAAATGCATGAAGTATATCTTGTTCTAGAGCATTAAGTTAGTAAATCAAATGAGATAATTTGGTAGGTAAATTATGTTTATTTAGGCTATAGTATATAAAAATAAATTGTGTTTAGGCTATGTTTGCCATGCTGATGAAAATAAATTGTGTTATAATGGCTACGTAGAAAAAAATTGTGTTTAGTTAGGCTGTGCTTGACATGCTTATAAAAATAAATTGTGTGTTTACAGGCTATAGTGGCCATGCAGATTCTCTCCGAGCAAGGTGTACAGATGGATAGAAAAGATAATTATAGTAACATGGCTGACGTGTTGGTTGAAATGGAATGCCATGAGCTGCTGTTCCAGATTTTAGAAAAATATGATGATGACCAGGGTGAGATTTTTTGTCTTTGAAAAATTTTTCTTCTGTTGCCTGGGTTGATTTATGAAGTTTTGTTTTGTTTTGTTACATTCAATAATTGTAAACTAAAAAAAATGTCAATGTTTTTTATTAGCCAAGCTGAATGTGTTTTTAACTTGAAAGTTTTTTTTTTAATTTTCGCAAAATTAACCCACCACTGCATGTTTCATTCTTTAGGTCTGCATGATCTAGCCAGTGAATGTCTTTATGTTATTGGTATTGAGCAGGATTTGAAGTCACGCATGTTATTAACAGCCTGCACTAAAGGTTTTATTGCTGTAAGAACCTCTGTGCTGTTACAGCTCATTAAATTAACTTAGTTTTACAAGTCAACATTGTACCACTCAAACAATCGCATTCTATAAGTCAACATTGTACCACTCAAACAATCGCATTCTATAAGTCAACATTGTACCACTCAAACAATCACATTCTATAAGTCAACATTGTACCACTCAAACAATCACATTCTATAAGTCAACATTGTACCACTCAAATAATCACATTCTATAAGTCAACATTATACCACTCAAATAATCACATTCTATAAGTCAACATTGTACCACTCAAACAATCACATTCTACAAGTCAACATTGTGCAACTCAAACAATCTTTTCACATTCTATAAGTCAACATTGTACCACTCAAACAATCTTTTCACATTCTACAAGCTAACAAACCCAACAATGTTTCAGCTTATTTCTGTTACCTTGAGGTAAAACAAAGTTTGTGTAATTACACTAAACCATTGCTCTCATTGTCATCAATTTGGGGTTAATGGGATTTTTGACAGTATTTATTAATAGATATCTTGCATCCACAAGTTCTAGAGTAGATGTGCCTTGTAAATATCTATAAGAACTTGTTGTTTGGCCCAGGGAGCTGAGTGTCTGATAGAAGTTGGAGCAGACGTCAACACAGGAAATGGGCCTGAGACACCGCTGTACTACGCTGTCAACAATAACAATGAAACTATGGTGGAGCTTCTGCTCAAACATGTGAGACTAAATTATATTCTCATCAGTTTTCTTTGCTGTAGATTTATAAATATTAAAAGATTGAGCATTTTGTAAATACAACATCAAATGATGACATACTCTTTTAACTGTTGGTCAGGAAATTATTAAAAGATAGAACATTTAGAAAATAAACATTAAATGAGAGTATGTTCTTTTATTTGTTGTCCAGGAAGTAAGAAATGTTCAGCCATCTTTGAAGCTGAGCCTGATGCGAGGGTATGACAGGATCACTGGACTGCTCTTGTCTCATATTGGACAGGATAAAGAAAGTAAGTTCAGTACTTAGTTTACTTTTAAATGTGGAGTATAATTCACTTAATTTACTGGTACAATGTTTATATTTCTACACAGAATTTGCAAACTTTTTATTACAACTTATTTTATTTTCATTGCATGATATTTAAAAAAATGTTTATATATCTAGCTGGGACTGTGCTGTGGTCAAATTTAAACCTGGGGGATCTCCGAGCTGCATGGGTCATGCCGACCCTCTGTGGCAGAGAAAAAAAGGCCCAGACAGCTTCTATCACCAGCAAACATTTTGTGGCTAAGATAAAGAACAGCGAGATGCGTAGAAACCATCGCATGCACTTTTCCCTGACAGACTCCAACCTTGAGAGTATCCGTCACAAGTGTTTTCGTTACAGGCGGAGCAGCATGGAGGTACAGAGGCAAACTTTTGAGGCCATTTACGAACTACAAGGTACGCTGTCACTTATCCATATCTGTTTGTTAACTTCAACTTATATAACAATTTATCAACCATCACTTATCAGATCTCAAGGTATGCTTGCTATTAATTTAAAAAAAAATGTATGAACTACAAGGTACTTTGTCAGTTGACCAAAAATTAAGACCAAGTTATCTTTGTCACTTATCAAATTTTCGTTATTCACATTCCAACTTGACCAACTCTGCTTTACCCCAGTTGATATAGCTTAACCACTTATTTAGTGAATTTTTTAACCTCTATCAAACACAGCATCATTTTTTTTTCTTCCATAGCCCAAACTCAAGGGAAACAACAAAAACAAAACACAGTTTCCAAAAAACCATCCAGCAGACTGCTAGATGAAATGATGTCACCCTCAGCTTTAAGAAGAGTTCACTCTGATTCTTCCACCCCTAATGGGAAAATGTCTCAGTTAGAAATTAGTGGTGAGCTCACATGGCATTTAAGTTTAAAAATTTTTTGAAATTAGACTTTAAATCCTTGAAGTGATTGAACCACTTTTATCTTTAAGTTCAATGATTGTGTATGAACTTTGACCTTTTACACTCAGAGCTTCCTGTGTTTGAGCACTCTGAAGATGAATGGGAAGACTGGAAAAAGACGACATTGACTGGCGCAAACATCCCATTTAGTCCTGGCGACCCTAGGCGACCTTCTGACCTTTCTAAAATAACTGAACATGTCACGGCCAGTTTTATAACACCAGCAGGTAACTAGATAGTTACAGGAGCCTAACTGTGTTTTTCATGAGCCAAGTTCTTGTTACATAAGCCAAGTTGTAGTTACATGAGCCAAGTTGTAGTTACATGAGCCAAGTTCTGGTTAAATTCAAGCTCTGACTTCTGTTACAACCTAGGTTAAGCACAAATTGGTTAAAAACTGATAACTTTTAAAGACATTTTACTGTGCTCTTTGAATATCTTTGGCCCACATTATAAATAAGTAGTTTTAACAAAAGTATTTGTTCTTAAGATCTACCAGGAAAATGGTTAAGAAAATTTACACCAAAAGACAGCCCAAAAAATCATGTGACACAAGGTCAAGAGAACTATGAGCATGCTATACACCTGGGTCTAGAGTTTAGACATGACCATTCATCAGATCGTTTAGTATGTATTAGATTTGACTATTGTAGTTTACCTTATTGTTTTTTTTTTGGTCTTTTTTTGGTCTTTTTTAAAAATCTATCTTGTTAGACTCCTGCTAGATATGTGTGCTAAATGATGAGTTGAATGCACTTTGGCCTTTGTGTAGAATAATTTCATATGTGTTCATTAGTCATCAGATACAGAGGCCAGTATTTCATCTGCTGCTAGTCCAGTACTGTCTGTTCATTCAGCAGACGACACAGGTCAGTTGCTATTATCCACTTTAGTTGTTGGATATTTTAGCTATGTGAAAGATAAAAACAGACACACAATTTTCTTCCTTAGACCTAGATGTCAGCATGGAAGAGAAAATATCCAGGAAGTCACCTGACTACAGAATCAGAAATTTGGACATGTCATCCAATCAGATCGCAAAGATTGATTGTCTGGTCACAAGTGGTGGGGATTTACTGCAGAGTTTCACATCACTAGAGAACCTTGACCTTGGTGGAAACTTGATACTGGGTCTACCTGAGGATTTTTGTAAGGTGGGTTTAATGAAATTTGATACTGGGTCTACCTGAGGATTTTTGTAAGGTGGGTTTCATGAAACTTGATACTGAGTTTTACCAGAGGTTTTTTGTACATTTTTACATTAAAATGTATTGAAACATCAACAGCATCATCTCCCCACAACAAAAGAAAATAATTTTTATTACCCTGATGAACACACTAAAAAACTTCACAACAATTTGTTTAGTTTTTTCATTTATGAAAAAGAAATACTTCTATTTACAAAGGCTATTTAAATGAAGTTAAATTTCTTGTCATATTAAACTGAAAGGGAACACTTAAATCAAGTTTGGTATTTTTCTTGTTACAATTTTAACTGTAGTAACTAGAGCTTACTTTTAACTTTAAATTTATTTCCAATTTTAGCATTTGACAACCTTGAAGATTTTGAATCTCAGCAATAACAAATTAACAACATTTCCTGATCCAGTTTTTTATTGCCCTTGTTTGACTACACTTGACCTCTCCTTGAATAAAGTAAGTTTAGCATTTTTAGCTTTGTGTCAACAGGAAAAATATTTTTGTTGTTCAATATCTTAATGGAAAATGAATAATAAAGTGAAATACATTTGGTAGTTGCAATCTCAAAACAAATTTTATTGTTCCAAATTATTTTGATTTATGTATAAATGGTTATTTTTATATTAGATTGAAGTTTTGAATCTGGGGTCGCACAAGTCGCAGTCAATAACAGATTTACTTATTATGAAAAATGAGATCAAGACATTTCCTCAAGGATTGGATCAAGCATTTCCTCATCTTTCTAGGCTGGATATCAGCAAGTAGGTTGTGTGATTAAGTTTGTTTTAACTCATTTTAACTCAAGCTTTTTTGCCGGTTGTGTGATCCTGCTTTAAGCTAGTTTTAACTCTTTTGTTGGAATTATAAAGTTTTAATTCAATATAAATTACAAAGATTGGTAAAATACCATAGTAAACAGCATGTAATGTTTCCAGAAATAAACTCAAAGATCTACCCAACATGCCTTGCAATCTGGTGGACTTACAGTACCTGGATTGTTCTCACAATTCTATTCTCATTTTACCTGAGGAATTCTTTAGATTTTCATCAAAATTGGAAACATTTATTGGAGTCAACAATGGATTAGGTAACTCTTGTGGTTGTTTCTGCTCTGTTTTTTGTTTTGTTTATACATCTTTTGAACTTAATTTAGGCAATTTTTGGTATGTGAAACAATTCAATTTGTATTTAAAACTATAGATTATCTATTTGAACACATGTTTTTACTTTTTGAACACACGTTTTTACTTTGTGACTTCATAGAGCTATTGCCCAGTGAAAGCTTGGCTGTCCATCTGAATCGTCTTGCCACTGTCAAACTTAGCAATAACAGAATTACTGAAAAAGAACCATTTTATATCCCAAAGTTTATACTGGAACTGCCAAAGTATGTTTTTAGAGTTAATTATACTTGGCTGCAAGCTAAAGCAGTTTAAACTTTTTACAATTTATAAAAAAAAATTAAATGAGCTGAAACATGCAGTTTATTAAAAATGATTTCTTTCTCAGTCTAAGAAGTGTTGATCTCTCATCAAATGGGATTTTAGGATTTCCACCACCCACTTTATGGAAGACACAAATGCTGAAAGATCTTTTGTTGTCACATAATCAGATTGACAAGGTGAGTTTGTTTGAAATATTCTCAACATTAAAAGAAAAGTTAATTTAATGGCAAATTGTTTTCCTCATATTTTTTTTTATAACTTGTTCTGATAGGCAACTATTTGCTATTTAATATATTTTGTATTTTAGTTGAACCTGGATGGATCTCGGATGTGGGGCAAGTTGGAGAAGTTAAACTTATCTCACAATAAAATAGCTGAGGTGAACATTTCTCATAACTGATTCCTATCCAATTTTAAATTTTAATAAATGTTGTTATTTTAGTGAAACATATGTTAGAATTTTGTTTTTCAAAACAATTGACTTTGCTTCAGCTCCCAAAAGAAATTGGACATCTGGTAGCTCTGCAGTCATTGGACCTGAGCTACAACAAATTTTTGTCAAGTCTGCCAGACGAGCTGGGCAGATGCAGTAAAATCTGGGAGGTGATGGAATTTTTTTTTTATCATGTAGAACATGTATTTTTTTGTTGGATTCTTCAAATTGTAATCCTATTTATAATTGTTTCAATAATCTCAAGATGCCTATGGATGGTTTATCTCTAGACTTGGATGATGGGCTAACTAGGGGTCGTGTAAAAGATTTGATTCTCTACCTCCACAACAGGCTAAAAAAGGTTGGTCGACTGATCTCTGTCTTAGTGATTTGTTGTTCTACATCAAGATATCTTACAAATGTTAAATTCTTTCTGATCTCTGCTTTAGTAATTTGTTGTTCTACATCAGGATATCTTGCAAATGTTGAATTTTTTCTGATCTCTGCTTTAGTAATTTGTTGTTCTACATCAGGATATCTTGCAAATGTCGAATTCTTTTCAAACAATGATAAAAATGACTTTGTTTACCCACCATTAGGCCCAGCGCTATTATAGAATGAAACTTATGGTGGTTGGATATGGAGGACGGGGGAAGTCGAGTTTACTACAAGCTCTCAAGAAGAAAGTCAAGAGCAACTCAGCAGAGAAACCTTCAGTCACTGTGGGTGTCATCGTGGAGGATTGGAAGTGAGAAATGTTTTTTTAACCAACTCTCCTTAGCTGAATACAGTTTTAACATCAACACTAGCATTAGATTTATTGAAAAAAAAAATTTAAATTTAATTAAATATTTTCGCTGATGAAGTATATGAGGTAAAAGGTTTGGGAAAAGTGACAAACATTTTTGCTGATTCAGGTATGAGAGACAAAGGTTTGGGAAAAGTGTGACATATACCCTGAACACCTGGGACTTTGCTGGACAAGAAGATTTCTACAGTACACACCAGTGCTTTCTCTCCAACAGAACATTATATCTGGTGTGTTCACATTTTTAAATTTTACAGTATCTGATGTGTTCACATTTTTAATTTCACCATATCTGGTGTGTTCACATTTTTAATTTCACCTCACTGGTTGGGTAGAAATCACATTATTTGAATAATTTAAACATTTAGTGTAACTTTGAATTACTTCCCTGATTTGAGATTTAAACTTGATGGTCTCATAGAAGTTTCTCCATTTGTTTCATCAGCACCTATCATAATTTGTAACTTTGTGTAGGTTGTGTATGACATGAGCACCTAATGTAAGTTGTAACTTTGTGTAGGTTGTGTATGACATGAGCACCTAATGTAAGTTGTAACTTTGTGTAGGTTGTGTATGACATGAGCACCTAATGTAAGTTGTAACTTTGTGTAGGTTGTGTATGACATGAGCACCTAATGTAAGTTGTAACTTTGTGTAGGTTGTGTATGACATGAGCACCTAATGTAAGTTGTAACTTTGTGTAGGTTGTGTATGACATGAGCACCTAATGTAAGTTGTAACTTTGTGTAGGTTGTGTATGACATGAGCACCTAATGTAAGTTGTAACTTTGTGTAGGTTGTGTATGACATCAGCACCTAATGTAAGTTGTAACTTTGTGTAGGTTGTGTATGACATCAGCATGGGGACTGAAGAAATTGACAAACTCAAGCCATGGCTCTCCAACATTCATGCTCGTGCACCAGGGTGTCCTGTCATTGTTGTAGGAACTCATTATGATCTACTTCCTGTGGGTGAGCTCCCTTTTTCTCTCATTATAATCTACTTTGTGTGGATGAGCTCCCTTTTCCTGTGGGAAAGCTTTAGTTTTATATTTTTGATAATTTATCTGCTGCTTAAGATTTGTATTGAACTTGTTCCTATATCTTTTAGAGGACAGGGAATCCACTGTTGTTGAGTTTGAATCAAAGCTCCAAAAACTAATGAACAAACCAGGTAGTTGTCTTTTATATTTTGGTTTGATTCTTTGGTTTTTTGAGGGTTGCTTTTTAAATATCTGCAGTTTACTCAATGATAACACAGATACACTTATCTAGGTTGACAAAAAAATTTTTTTTAAAGATTTTAAATTTAGTGAATTAATTCTACAAAAAATGTTTAAAATAAATGTTAGAACTATTAGAGAGTAAATCTGTGACTGTAAAAATCTTTGAAATAAGTTTTGGAACTGTTAGATAGTAAATCTGTGACTGTAAAAATCTTTAAAATAAATGTTAGAACTATTAGAGAGTAAATCTGTGACTGTATCTCCAAGGTTTCCCTGCCATAACATGTTTTGCTATTGTGGACTTAACTAAAGAATCTCATGAACTTCAACTGCTGAGGAACAAGGTCAAGGACACAGTTGATGAGTATGTCTGTATCTTTATCTGTATGTCTTAAAACAACATGAATAAACACACATCATTAATATCATAGTACACATACACATTTATTAACATTACAATATAAAAAGGATATTTTAAATTAATTATTCAGGTTCAAGGTGAAAGGTCAGCCAGTCATGGGTCAGAAAGTGCCAGCTAGCTATGTTGTGAGTTCATTAAAGATGTTTACATTTTGTAAAATAAACATACTCAGTCTAATCCAACCTACATATTTTGTCGATCACAGTTAGCTGTATCTGAAAATACAGCTTCATCATTTATGCTAATGTTAAAACTCTTCTATTTTACTGGAGATAATTTCCTGACAATTTCCAGAAACTGGGTGAACTTTTACATGAAGAAGCAAAAAATGTCCAAAAATGTTTTCCTGTAATACGACATGGGCAGCTGATTCGCCTCATCAAGAATGCCAACATAGACCTAGAGGATGAAGAATTAAAACAGGTAGGCTGTAGCTCCACAGAGGTGGGGGTTGGGGATTGGACGACACGTTAGTTACGTTAATGGTTGTTGCCCTGATCCTCATTGTAGCAATGAGTGTTTGTGATAGAAAGAAAAATTTAGTGATATGCTTGTTCCATCCTCCAGGCCATCAACTTCCTCCATGAAAGTGGAGTCTTGCTGCACTATAATGAGACAGCTCTACAGATGAAAGACTTCTACTTCATCAACCCAGGGTGGCTGTGTCGAATGATGGCACAAATTGTTACAGTGCCAGAAATTAATCCTTTTATAGACAGAAATGGGGTAAGTTTCACAACTTGTGAACTAGTTTTGTCCCTAAGGAATTAATAAGATAAGCTATCATAATTTTATAAAACAATTTTTTCAGGTCATGAAAAGATCCTCTGCTGGCTTACTCTTTACTGGGAAAGAAACTTCTGGCAGCAGCCATTTTGTTTTCCCGACATCTTTGATACCCCAGTATCTCCATTTACTGGAAAAGTAAGAATTTCATATCTTTTCAAACATGACTTTAATATTTCCAAAGATAAGTATCAGTTCTTTGAAATATTTTCAAACAGATTTGAAATAGCACTCCCAAGAAATGAGGAAGAACTACTAATACCATGCAGGCTTCCAAACAGGCGACCAAATTTTGAACTACCCATACAAAACAAAGAAGGTAATTTTTTTTAAGTTTCTCAGAAAACAACATGAAGGCAATTGAAATCTAATCATTTTTGTATTAATGAAACTACTTCTGGTTGCTAAAAAGGGAGAAAATCACACACAATTTAAAAATATGAGTTTATAGTAATGGCATCAGCCCATCAAAAAGGAGATAAACCATTTAAAAAAAAAAATGTTTTCTAAATTATTAAAAAATGTTGTATTAAAAAGTTTGTCTTACAAAAACGGGGGTAACATATTGGGTTGTTATGTATAAATAAAATTCGACCTCAATGTTACAAAAAAATTCATAAAATTTTTTATAATATTATTTTTATAATATTATATTCATAATATTATATTCATAATATTGATTCCTAATATATGAATTTTCTCTATTTTAAATATTTAAAAAATGGCAGATGTTATTAATTTGGTCATCATATATAGCTTATGTAAAACTTACCCTTTAAATTATCACCAGAACTAGTGTTCAGGTATTATGTCATGCCTCATACACCCATTGGCTTTTGGTCTCGACTCCTCACCAGGCTCATTGTGTTCACAGAGAGTAAATTTGTTGAGGTTTGTTTCATGATCATAGTTGTACTTTTATGTCAGTCATGCTTTAATTTCATGCATTTCATGTCAGTCTTGCTTGTACTTTTATGTTAGTTACTTAGCTTAGATGCATTCAATAGATTTAGCTAACTCTAAGCAAGACCAGTTTTCACTAATGGTGATATAATTGACTTCTTTAGAATATGCTGTACCTGCATGAAAAACCTCAGGTTCATTTTTGGCAGGAGGGAATATTTGTTCTGTGGAATGACGTAAGAATTTTTATTTCCTTTAATTAACAGTTCAATTAATTTCCTTTTATAAAAAATATTTTTTTCACAATATCTTAAAAGTACTCTATAATATTTAATGTGCTGCTTTTTTTTTTTTTTAAATTTAAAATGCTTTAAATTTTTAAAATGTGTTGATTATGTTTTATTCCCACACAAACACATAAACACATTTTACTCCTCAGGCTGCCTTTTTCTTGGTTGACAGCTTCAAAGGTTTATCTGATGAAATTCACATGACAGTTCCCAGTACACCCCATGGGTGCAGGTAATGCTACTTTTTTTAGTTTAGACACATAGATTTTTATTTTAGCCACATTTTATTTAGTTTAGCTACATTTATTTTTAGTTTAGCTACATTTTATTTAGTTTAGACACATAGATTTTTATTTTAGCCACATTTTATTTAGTTTAGCTACATTTATTTTTAGTTTAGCTACATTTTATTTAGTTTAGCTACATTTTATTTAGTTTAGCTATATTTATTTTTAGTTTAGCTACATTTATTTTTAGTTTAGCTACATTTGATTTAGTTTAGGCACATTTGATTTAGTTTAGCTATATTTATTTTTAGTTTAGCTACATTTTATTTAGTTTAGCTACATTTATTTTTAGTTTAGCTACATTTGATTTAGTTTAGGCACATTTGATTTAGTTTAGCTATATTTTTTTTTTAGTTTAGCTACATTTTATTTAGTTTAGCTACAAATATTTTAATTTTAGTCACATTTTATTTATTTTAGCTACCTATAGTGTAATTTAGTTTATTTTAATCGCATTTGGTTTAGTATAGCTCTGTGGTGTGGTGTAAATCAATGTTAAAATCTGACACAGGCTACTGGGCTACCTTGTAGATCATGCTGATTCTTTAATTGATGAGTGGTACCCTGGTCTGGTGTCCATTGATCCTATGCTGGGGAGAGAACTCTTGGAAAAATATGTGCCTTGTACAGCTTGTTCAGGTGGGAGAAACTTCTAGAGATAATTTTTTTTTACCAGTCTCTGTTGAACATACAGAGCATACAGTTTAAGTTCACTGAACCGAAACTCTGACTAAATAAATATAGAAAACAAAAGCACAAAGAAGTAAACAATAATCCAACTTTTTAATTTACCACTAGGTTTGCAGTCTCATGTCTTCAGGTTTGAAGATCTTTTGAAGCATTCAGAGAACCACACTGATATATTTTGTCCTATCCATAATGGGACAGTGGACTTAGTGAAATTGGTTGGTATATTTCTCACATTTATTTTGTTTGTTTGAAATGAGGGAGGTTAGGCCAAAAGCCACTCCCTCAAAAATTAAGTTTTATTACTAATCTATGAAATTTTATATATTTTTTAAACTAAATAATATTTTCTTTTACATTATTATATTATTAGATGTGATATTTTAATTCAAAACACAAAAACTAGTTGGTAATAACAGTAGTTTTAAAAAAAAACTACAATATTTAAATTAATATTATAGTTTAAAAATAAAAATAATAAACACTTTTTAAATGAATAATATAGTTTTAAAAATAAAAATAATAAACACTTTTTAAATGAATAATATTTTTGTTTTAAACCAAATATTAAAATGTGTTGGTAATGTTGCAGGCTCCAGATGTGATGCTGGCAGATGTTGAGCCTCAGTTTCATCTAGATCTAGAACAGTTTGAATTCAAAGAAAGGTAGGCTACTCTGGACATTCAAACTAAATAATGTAATGCTGTGTAATGAAACATTTTTTATGTTAGGGATTCTGCATGTATAATTGACCTGAAAATGAGATGGGTGGTGTAAAATTTTGTTACATTGTATTAAATTAGGCAGCGGTGGGTAAAATTTTACATTCCTGTGTACATAACTTATTTTACGAAAGGTGTTTTATAAAACATGTATTTTTTACGTATTATATTACAAATATATATATCACAACATTTCAAAAACAAGCTTTATTAATTAAATCAAGATTTGTCAAATAATTTAAAATTTAGTTTAAACAAATATATTACTGTAAAATTACCTTCTGATTATGAAGAAATACACTTGTAGCGCTGATTCAAGACTTTTATGCTGAACCTTTATTTGTATGTCAAGATATCAACTGTATGTTGATTATAAATATTTCAGACTCACATAGAATCTATATGTTATTTATTAATCTTGTTACTGTGGCATCTGTTCCATTTGTGAGAGAAATAAATGGAACTATCTTTAATTTATTCTAGTCTAGAGAATCTATGTGGAGATGGAGGATTTGGGTCAGTTTATAAAGCAAAGTACCAGGGAAAGGTAACTCTTATTTAACTGAGTAAAAAGTTTATTGTAATATTTTTAAAAGTTTACATCTGATAAAAAAAAAATTATTTTAAATATCAGGTTGTTGCTGTCAAGGTGTTTAGTGCAATTGGGGACATCCATCCTCACAAAATGCTTCGACAAGAGGTAATAAACACATATCAGTTTATTGCATGTAATGTGTAAGGTATTTTATCTTTGAATTGTTTCATTCATTGTTTTTTTTTCAAAAGTTTTATTTGGAATATTTATATTTCTTATTTTGTTACCCAGGCAACCATACTGAGAAGGCTGAAACATCCCAGTGTCATCTCCCTGTTGGCTGTGGCTGTCCATCCAGTCAGACTCGTCGTCATGGAGTTCGCTCCAAACAAAACTTTGGGGGAGGTGTTCAGATCTGGACCTCGGCTGAGCAGGACTTTACAACTGAAAATATCACAACAGGTTACTTTTAAAACATTTGTACTTTATGTTGGGCAGGTTCTTTACTATCAAATATGTTTTATCAGATTTCTGAAGGTTTAACTAAATATATTTTATCAGATTTCTGAAGGTTTAACTAAATATATTTTATCAGATTTCAGAAGGTTTAACTAAATATATTTTATCAGATTTCTGAAGGTTTAACTAAATATGTTTTATCAGATTTCAGAAGGTTTAACTAAATATATTTTATCAGATTTCTAAAGGTTTAACTAAATCTTTGTTATTAGATTTCTGAAGGTTTAACTAAATATCTTTTATCAGATTTCAGAAGGTTTAGCTTACCTGCACAGTTTGATGATTATATACAGGGACATGAAACCTGATAATGTTTTGATCTTCACATTAGCACCAGACGCACTGGTATGATTTTAATTACATTTTTATTTTATGAAATTTGAATAGCTCTCATTTTCTTTCTTTATTGAAATAGTTTATTAAAAATTATAATCTATAAGTGTTAAGGAGGTTTAGAATATTATTGTGTCCTTAATTTTTATTTAATGTGTAAAAATTTTTATGCCACTTTCATTATTATAAAGGTAAACAATCACTAAAAGAATAATATATTCAATCTATCAAATAGTTTATGGCATCCCAGTAAAATCCATTTACAAATTGATAATTCTTGTTATTTAGTTGTTGCGGAGTAAATAAAGTGTGAGTCTTTAGATATTATTAGATATTATTAATAGATCATCTTGTAATAAAGATTGTCAACTCACATTTTATGTAATTTTATAATAGATCAATGCAAAGATTGCAGATTACGGCATCTCTCAGTTCACAACTTTGTTTGGTCTGGTGGCACAAGAGGGAACACCTGGTTATAGAGCCCCAGAAGTTGTCAGAGGAGAAATTTACTCCTTTCAGGTGTGTTTTATTTCTCTTGCACACATGTAGTCACACACTACAGTTATAGTAAACTTTAATGGGGCTGGGGATTGCACTGGTCACACAAACGCTTCATTTGTCAAGGCAACAACCTATTTACCTAACATTTTACTAAACAGAATGTAAATAGGCCAAAATGTCATTTTAGTGGTCCTTAAGGCATAGGAAGTAAAGTTTGTGTATTACAATGCAGTTTATCATTTTTTACAGGCTGATATTTTTTCTTTGGGAGTCCTGATGTACATGGTGCTAACAGGGGGCCAGCACCCATTTGAGGAGCTGGAGTTCAAGAGTGAAATTGATAAAGCTTTTGCTGAGGTAATCACTGTGTCCTGAGACACATTTTGCTGAGGTAATCACTGTGTCCTGAGACACATTTTTCTGAGGTAATCACTGGGTCTACTGAGATACATTTTACTTAGGTTATCACTGTGTCCTGAGACACATTTTACTTAAGTCATCACTGGGTCTACTGAGACATATTTTGCTGAGGTAATCACTGTGTCCTGAGACACATTTTACTTAGGTCATCACTGGGTCTACTGAGACACATTTTGCTGAGGTTATCACTGGGTCTATTGAGACACATTTTGCTGAGGTTATCACTGGGTCTATTGAGACACATTTTGCTGAGGTTATCACTGTGTCCTGAGACACATTTTACTTAGGTCATCACTGGGTCTACTGAGACATATTTTACTTAGGTCATCACTGGGTCTACTGAGACATATTTTACTTAGGTTATCACTGGGTCTACTGAGACATATTTTACTGAGGTAATCACTGGGTCTACTGAGACACATTTTACTGAGGTTATCACTGGGTCTATTGAGACACATTTTGCTTAGGTCATCACTGGGTCTATTGAGACACATTTTGCTGAGGTTATCACTGGGTCTATTGAGACACATTTTGCTGAGGTTATCACTGTGTCCTGAGACACATTTTACTTAGGTCATCACTGGGTCTACTGAGACATATTTTACTTAGGTCATCACTGGGTCTACTGAGACATATTTTACTTAGGTTATCACTGGGTCTACTGAGATACATTTAGCTAACATGGTTGAGATTAATAAAAGTTAAACTATTGTCCCAAAAATGGAATGCACATTTAACTAATGATTTTTTAATTAACAGAATCTCCCAATAGCACCCATAACTCAAAAATCTTGTGCACCATGGCCAGATTTTCAAGAGCTGATCACCCAGTGCTTGAGTCAAGTTCCTGATTATAGACCTAAAGTAATCTTCTTTTTAAAAAGATGTGAAAAATCATTATATAATATAAATTTAACATTGGGAAATTTTAAAACCAATTTTGTAACTCTATGTATATTTAAAAATTTTAAAACTTTGAAAAATTTCCTTCCCTCTAGGCAGCAGAAGTATTTGAGAGTTTAAATTCTGCAGAACTCTTCAGTCTGCGTGAGGTGTTGCCTGTGTCTGTTGGAACAACTGTTGAATGTATTGCCACTCAGGTTTGTTTCATGTCTTATTTTATTAGATTTTGTAATTTTTTAATGTTACAATTTGAGTCAAGTCTATTGAAGCCCTATAAAAAAAATTGTTTGATACTCAACTTTAGTATTGTTCTTCAATTTTAACCAAATTAAATGCAGGTACACTAGTTTTCCACATTTGTTTTTTTTATTTTTAGTTTAGTGTTGAAGAGTTTTTAAAAAATTCTTTAAATTTTTTTTTTAAATGAGTTAGTTGAATCACTGTTTGATAGGACTATGATTATAGTAAAATATTTAACAACAGAATTACTGTTTGATAGGACTATGATTATAGTAAAATATTTAACAACAGTATTACTGTTTGATAGGACTATGATTATAGTAAAATATTTAACAACAGAATTACTGTTTGATAGAGCTGTGATTATAGTAAAATATTTAACAACAGAATTAGTGTTTGATAGGGCTATGATTATAGTAAAATATTTAACAACAGTATTACTGTTTGATAGGACTATGATTATAGTAAAATATTTAACAACAGTATTACTGTTTGATAGGACTATGATTATAGTAAAATATTTAACAACAGTATTACTGTTTGATAGGGTTATGATTATAGTAAAATATTTAACAACAGTATTACTGTTTGATAGGACTATGATTATAGTAAAATATTTAACAACAGTATTACTGTTTGATAGTGCTATGATTATAGTAAAATATTTAACAACAGAATTACTGTTGGAGAAAACTATGATTATAATGGAATATTTAATAAGTCAGCCAACATGTTGTTGACCCTACAGCTATTGAGCAGCAAGAATGTTCGCCTCTGGATTGCCAGTGGAGACAACGACTACATGCAGCTGACCTGGCTGAACCTGCTTGACTACAGAGATGAAGTCCTCAATGCTGAAAGAAGTCGCCAGTCTGTGGATTACAGTGTATGTTGTAGCCTGCATGTCTCTCGTTTTTACTTTCTCGTACATACAGAGTATAGAGAAAGTATTGTAATCATGCAAAAAAAAATCGTGATTTTTGCAAATCTCGACGTTTTACACCTCCCTGAGTTGGAAAAACATAGTTTGCAATCTTGTCCGTATGTCTGTGTATGTGTGTGTGTATGTATGTGTATCTGTAAACACGATAACTTGAGTACCGTTACAGCTAGGTTGATGACATTTCATATATAAGTAGTATATCAAATTTGTAGATCCGTTTCAACTTTTCAGCGATTTCTGATAACCGGAAGTGGTACTTTTTCTACTTTGAATTTTTCAAAAGCCTATAACTTTAGTAGTATTTTAGATAGATAAATGAAATTTCACATATTAGTAAAAGATATAATTCTCTGCCTTCTATCAAATTTTGAGTAATTTCCGTTGATCGGATGTAGTAATTTACGCTATTTCCAATTTCTCAAAAAACGCATGTGAATTTATAAAGTACTAATAATATCTCGCACTATTATGCACATTTTGTTTGGCGTTCACTTGGTGTGCAATTCTTTTTGCTACGAGATTCTATTCTATTATAAAAAGTTCAAGTATTTAAAAATGGATTAAGAATATTGTCTAAATCCCGAGTTGCCATCCCCCGTAGTGTTATATAAGAATATTCGAGAATGTTTAGGAGAGATCACTCCCGGTTTATTTCTTTATGTTGTTCATGGCTTTTTTTTATTTTTGACCTGAATCAGGTGATTTCAGTTTTATTATTCTGTACTATTTTTTAGAAATACACTTGTTGGTGTGATAAATTCTATTGGTATATTGATAACTAATATAATTTCTCATTGTTACATGCTGTGAGATTTTTTTTTCTTAAGAAACTTTCATTAGATTTGTTATAACTAGTAAACAACTATTTTTCTGATTGATTTTACAGGGCATGGGTACTATGTTCAGGGACGGCAGAGTTCTTTGCCTGTTGCCAGTTAACCAGGATCATATTCTTCTTGGCACACAAGCTAGAAAAATCTGGGTATTTAACACAGTAACCAATGAATTGGTTCACTCAACACAACAGCTGGACGACTCAGTGCTCTGCCTTTATTTGGTTCAAAGGTTCAAGCACTTTCTTTACCTTTTACTTTTTTATTCATTATGATTTTTATTTAATTTTTTTAAAGTTATTTTTTCCTATCTATGATCTAAGAGTGAATCTTTATTTAATCAAGTTACTTACGTTATTCTTTAATAAATTCTCACTAAAGTTTGTTGAATTAAAAAAGAAAAGAGATTAATTATTTCATATTTAATAAAGATTTAGTTAAAGTTGTTGAAGATGTTGAATAGAAAGTGTTACAAATATTTACCTTATTGCAATAGAGATGAATAAAATATTTCTCTCCCCTGTTTTCTAAACATTCAGAAAGTTTCCACAAGCCACTTACAGGTAATTAGCACCAAACCCTAATTAGCATCAAACCCTACACTATAGCAGCAGGGTTAGGGGTAACTCACTTGTCAGTGTTTCATAGCTCATATAGCAAAAAATATTTTGTATTAGCTTTGTAAACTGTAGCTCTGCTCTTATCATAGCTCACACCATATCACAATGAATATACTATTGGAATGCACATATATGTATCCTGCTTTACCTTCCTTTGTGTAACTTTCCTCCCATTATCTTTTTTCTCTCTCACCCCCCCCCCCCCTAAATTTTAATTATTTCATAAAATCAACTTATGAAACAACTATAGAATCCACTTTACCTGAATAGTAAGAAAAATTGCATTTGTTTCATGTAGGCTACTTTTCAATTATAAATATTTGATGTAACTTATAGTTACATTTTGTAAGTTCAAAAAAAAAACCTTAATATCCTAAACTTATTTATAATGATTTTAAGGAGGAAAAAAGATTATTTGTCTATTTAATGGAGGATATAAGACTATAGTGGTAAAAACTAAATCTTGTTGATACAAAAATCTATAAGTGTTTAGGTTTAAAATTGTGAGATGTCAACATTAATTTAAACAATTTAAATTTAGATACAAAATTAAACAAAAAAATATATAAAAACTGTGTCATCGGTTAACTTGTGACATTTATATTAGAGAACAGTAATAATATACATTACAAGTGTAATTAAAAGAATTGTTATGTTTACAGGCGTATAGATATAATTAAAAGAATTGTTGTGTTTACAGGCGTATAGATGTAGTTAAAAGAATTGTTGTGTTTACAGGCGTATAGATGTAGTTAAAAGAATTGTTGTGTTTACAGGCGTATAGATGTAATTAAAAGAATTGTTATGTTTACAGGCGTATAGATGTAATTAAAAGAATTGTTGTGTTTACAGGCGTACAGATGACCCACTTGTTCTAGCAGGACTAGCCAATGGGAAGATGGCCCTGTATCCATTATCAGAGCTCCTCCAGGTCAGTTCATTGCACACTGAGACTTTGTTTTAAAAAAACATCATTACTTGTATTTGTTTTGTTTTAAATGTATGGATTCATGACTTCATCAGCTATTTTAATGTTTCCCATTTCTGGAGAGCATATTACAGGGAAAATACCTCACTTCTTCTGTATTCTACTTGACTATTAAGGGCATGGGCAGGGGATGAAAATCAAAATAACCAAAATGCTTATTTCTCCACCTAATGCTATAATATTTAGCATATAGTAATGACTCAAAGAGTTAAGTCTAAAAATTAAAAAAATGGCCAAAAATTTCATGCCATTGACATGGTGATGGTGGCCATCTTGGATTTTATTTACCTTTTTAACATCAAAATAACTCAGAGATGGCTTATGCAAATTCAATAAAACTTGCAGGATTATAAAGATACATATTGGTAACAATCGTGATAGATTACATTAAAATAATTTTGTTTTTACAAATTTTTTTTTGAAAATCATTTTAAAAAATCAAAATTAGTGCAAAAAATACAACATTTTAACTGTAAAAGAAAAACCATACAACTTTTTAAAAATGTGTTCTGTTTTGTTTGCTATATGTATACAGAATAAATAGAAAATTTTTTGATCAATTTTAATGATAATTAAGAAAGTTATTTCAATGTTAAAAATTGTAAAAATATCCAAGATGGCTGCCATCACCATGGCAACAGCAGGAAACTATATGCTAGATATGATAGCATTAGGTTTATAAATAAGCATTTTGGCTAATCTGGTATTCATCACCCAACCGTGCCCTTTAACAGATGTTAGGCCAGTTGATTAAATTTGTCATCTGTGTTTTTACATCAGGAACCTGACATGGACCCCATAGAGATGAAGTTAGGGGAAAGCTATGAGCCTGTAAAGTGCATACTCTACAGCTCAACAGAACACAAACTAATTGCTTCATGTGGAACCAAGTTTGTTGTTATGGAAATCAAAATTGGTGTGGCAGTTGTAAACATTTATAACACAGTGGAGGTCAGGTCTGTGTTTACCAGTTTATGAGATCAGTTGTGTATTAATTCATTTTTAATGTTTTAAATCATTCAAACAATTTAATCCCAAAACAATTGTATGTCTTGCAGTAACTTCCTGTCCAAGCCTATAATAAAACAATTGTATGTCTTGCAGTAACTTCCTGTCCAAGCCTATAATAAAACAATTGTATGTCTTGCAGTAACTTCCTGTCCAAGCCTATAGTAAAACTGTTGTATGTCTTGCAGTAACTTCCTGTCCAAGCCTATAATAAAACAATTGTATGTCTTGCAGTAACTTCCTGTCCAAGCCTATAATAAAACTGTTGTATGTCTTGCAGTAACTTCCTGTCCAAGCCTATAATAAAACAATTGTATGTCTTGCAGTAACTTCCTGTCCAAGCCTATAATAAAACTGTTGTATGTCTTGCAGTAACTTCCTGTCCAAGCCTATAATAAAACTGTTGTATGTCTTGCAGTAACTTCCTGTCCAAGCCTATAATAAAACTGTTGTATGTCTTGCAGTAACTTCCTGTCCAAGCCTATAATAAAACTGTTGTATGTCTTGCAGTAACTTCCTGTCCAAGCCTATAATAAAACTGTTGTATGTCTTGCAGTAACTTCCTGTCCAAGCCTATAGTAAAACTGTTGTATGTCTTGCAGTAACTTCCTGTCCAAGCCTATAATAAAACTGTTGTATGTCTTGCAGTAACTTCCTGTCCAAGCCTATAATAAAACTGTTGTATGTCTTGCAGTAACTTCCTGTCCAAGCCTATAATAAAACTGTTGCATGTCTTGCAGTAACTTCCTGTCCAAGCCTATAATAAAACTGTTGTATGTCTTGCAGTAACTTCCTGTCCAAGCCTATAATAAAACTGTTGCATGTCTTGCAGTAACTTCCTGTCCAAGCCTATAATAAAACTGTTGCATGTCTTGCAGTAACTTCCTGTCCAAGCCTATAATAAAACTGTTGTATGTCTTGCAGTAACTTCCTGTCCAAGCCTATAATAAAACAATTGTATGTCTTGCAGTAACTTCCTGTCCAAGCCTATAATAAAACTGTTGTATGTCTTGCAGTAACTTCCTGTCCAAGCCTATAATAAAACTGTTGTATGTCTTGCAGTAACTTCCTGTCCAAGCCTATAATAAAACTGTTGTATGTCTTGCAGTAACTTCCTGTCCAAGCCTATAATAAAACTGTTGTATGTCTTGCAGTAACTTCCTGTCCAAGCCTATAATAAAACTGTTGTATGTCTTGCAGTAACTTCCTGTCCAAGCCTATAGTAAAACTGTTGTATGTCTTGCAGTAACTTCCTGTCCAAGCCTATAATAAAACTGTTGTATGTCTTGCAGTAACTTCCTGTCCAAGCCTATAATAAAACTGTTGTATGTCTTGCAGTAACTTCCTGTCCAAGCCTATAATAAAACTGTTGTATGTCTTGCAGTAACTTCCTGTCCAAGCCTATAATAAAACTGTTGTATGTCTTGCAGTAACTTCCTGTCCAAGCCTATAATAAAACTGTTGCATGTCTTGCAGTAACTTCCTGTCCAAGCCTATAATAAAACTGTTGCATGTCTTGCAGTAACTTCCTGTCCAAGCCTATAATAAAACTGTTGTATGTCTTGCAGTAACTTCCTGTCCAAGCCTATAATAAAACTGTTGTATGTCTTGCAGTAACTTCCTGTCCAAGCCTATAATAAAACTGTTGCATGTCTTGCAGTAACTTCCTGTCCAAGCCTATAATAAAACTGTTGAATGTCTTGCAGTAACTTCCTGTCCAAGCCTATAATAAAACTGTTGCATGTCTTGCAGTAACTTCCTGTCCAAGCCTATAATAAAACTGTTGTATGTCTTGCAGTAACTTCCTGTCCAAGCCTATAATAAAACTTGTATGTCTTGCAGTAACTTCCTGTCCAAGCCTATAATAAAACTTGTATGTCTTGCAGTAACTTCCTGTCCAATCCTATAATAAAACTGTTGTATGTCTTGCAGTAACTCCAAGCCTATACTAAAACTGTTGTATGTCTTGCAGTAACTTCCTGTCCAAGCCTATAATAAAACTGTTGTATGTCTTGCAGTAACTCCAAGCCTATAATAAAACTGTTGTATGTCTTGCAGTAACTTCCTGTCCAAGCCTATAATAAAACTTGTATGTCTTGCAGTAACTTCCTGTCCAAGCCTATAATAAAACTGTTGAATGTCTTGCAGTAACTTCCTGTCCAAGCCTATAATAAAACTGTTGTATGTCTTGCAGTAACTTCCTGTCAAAGCCTATAAGTTCTATGGCAAGTGGCAGACAGTTGTACCTGGCACACCGCAACAGCTCTGTTGTAGAGGCCTGGGATGTTTCGAAAGGCAAACGCAAAAATTCTTTGGATGTTAGCATAAGTTTTAAGTAAGACAACTGTTAACAATTTGTAAACATTAGCCAAAATTTAAGGCATTATTATTCAACATATTTTGTTGGAATTTTTTTTTATTAAAGAAAAAATATAAATTTAAAAAAAGAAATGAATGTGGTAATAAACAACACTAAACAAGTTTTACTTTTACTGTACAGCACGTAATATGGAGCCAGTTTGTGCCTCATTAAATATTTTGAAAGAATGCAATACTCTGTATGTGATAGTTATTTGTTGTTTTCTTGTAGCCTGACCAGCAAAGAGGGTCGCATCACTGCCATGGTCCTCAATGAATTAAAGACCCTGTGGGTGGGAACTGGTGGGGGGCAGATCATTCTCATTGATGTCAATAACTGGATCCCAGTCATCAGTTTTCATAGACACACTGCCTCCATTAGATGTTTGCATGCTGTTAAAATTAAAAGTAAGTCATCCTTGTTTCATCTGAATTACTCTTTTAGTCAATGAAATCTCAGTAAAAGATAATTTGTGTATAGTTGTTGGTAATTTTGATTTTAGGACGTGTTGAGGCATTAATTTTTTTCTATCCAGATTCTTCTAAATATGGAGCCAACTCCAGCACCACTGTCATCTTGAGTGGAGGTCTTGGGTTCAAAACTAGATCTGAGTCAACTATGGACAAAGGTAAGTCAAGTTTGATTGTCTGAACAATGACTTCTATAACTTGACCAGTCTACATACTAGAACTGAGTCAACTATGGACAAAAGTAAGTCATGTTTGATTGTTTGACCAATGACTTCTATAACTTGACCAGTCTACATACTAGAACTGAGTCAACTATAGGCAAAGGTAAGTCATGTTTGATTGTTTGATCAATGACTTCCATAACTTGACCAGTCTACACACTAGAACTGAGTCAACTATAGGCAAAGGTAAGTCATGTTTGATTGTTTGACCAATGACTTCCATAACTTGACCAGTCTACATATTAGAACTGAGTCAACTATGGACAAAGGTAAGTCAAGTTTAATTGTTTGACCAATGACTTCCATAACTTGACCAGTCTACATACTAGAACTGAGTCAACTATGGACAAAGGTAAGTCAAGTTTGATTGTTAGACCAATGACTTCCATAACTTGACCAGTCTACATACAAGAACTGAGTCAACTATGGACAAAGGTAAGCCATGTTTGATTATTTGACCAATGACTTCCATAACTTGACCAGTGTACATACTAGAACCGAGTCAACTATGGACAAAGGTAAGTCAAGTTTGACTGTTTGACCAATGACTCCCATAACTTGACCAGTCTACCTGCTGTTACCAAAAGACTGAGATGAGTTATAGGGCTTAGTGTCCAATCTGTGGAATTTAAAATCGTCTGAAGAAAACTCTCAACATTTATCTGACATCTATCCCTGTGGCTCTACAGCCCATGGAGGATTTAGACCAGCTCTACCAGCTTCTTCCACTCAGTCTAATCTTATATGTCTGGACCATGATGCTGTAGCTCTGTCTCCACATCTTCTATCATCTGAGCCAAGGTCTATCTCCACTTTTTCTGAGGCTTGGTCTGTCTCCACATCTTCTATCATCTGAGCACAAAATCTCAGCAGTCAGTAAAGGAATTCATTTCAGCGTACATGTTTCTTAAAAAATATTATAATTATTTTAAAAAATTTTGTTTTTTGAGTGCCTTAATTAGTCAAGTTTATTTTTTTCACATTTTTACTTCACTACAATTTTTACTAGTCTCTGCTTCTTTATCCTAAAATCTTGACGAACTTTGATTTGTAGTTTTTCTGTAATATTTACAATTATTTAATTGTTTTGGTTATTTTCTGAAAATTAAAAACTATGATTATACCTAAATATCTTATTATTGTACCCATCAGACAGCCACTATGGATGTATTGGAGTCTGGGACGCTAACTTCCCACAAATAGCCAAGCAGTTTTCTGACTGTGCTAAGAAAAGAAAAGAACTAAGTGAAACACGGAGGACACAATCTTTGTCATCTGGTTTGTGAGCTGTGTCGTTACTTCAGTACTCATTACTTCAGTAAACTTACTATGTCAGTAAACGCATTACTTTAATAAACACATTACTTCAGCAAAGCGCTGAAGTAATATTTAAGAAAATTGATTTTAACCATAGTATACTTAAAAAGAAAACTCTTTTTTTAATTGTTGTTCTTTTAAAAAGAAATAATCTGACAATCAAAAACAAATATATCTGCTAGATTTTCTACCAGAAAGCTTTTTTTTTAATTTTAATACATTTCTTTTGGTTGAATTAATGGATATTTTATTTTTCTTAGCTACATTCTCAAAATTCAAAATTAATTTTTTTACATAATGAGCTTAAAATAATGTTGCCATGTTAGCTTGTTGGTTCTTTTGATGTAGTGTCAGTTATAAGTTAACATAGACACCAAGCATTTTGTCAAAAGTTCTGTTATTAAATGCCGATATTTTGATCTGAAATATTGGGTGTGTTCTTAGTTTTACTAATTGCCAAAAAAACTGCCTTTTCATATGAGCATTTAAACACATTTTTTTTATATTGAGCCTTAAAAAACATGTTTATAAAACTGACCGTTTGTGATCATATGTAATTTTTTTTCAAATTAAAAAAAAAAACATCCTACTGTTCATTCCATTTTATTTACCTCCCCTGGTTTGAACCAAACTTAGATAAACTAGTCCTTACAGGTACTAATTGAACATTAATGTTGTTTTAGAATATTAGAACACCCTGTAGATTTCAATAGTCTCCTGGTCATCATAGCAAATTAATGTTCCTGTTTGGATGATCAACCATCAAATTGACAGTTTAGAAGGTCAATACTGAAGCTATTAACATTTGTTTGATTGTAGAGATGTTACATGTAGTGGAGTTGTGTGGTGATGCATCACTTGCTTGAATTTGTTATTGGTTTTTCTGATACATTTAAAGTTTAAAACCTGGCCATTTCTTACTGCAACGTATGATCTCCAGTAGCAGAACCTCAAGGAGTCAATTTGATGTCTTGTACTGCTGAGACCAGCCTTTTAAAAAAATGAACATTCCAATTAATTAATTTCTACACTTGTCTTTCATTGATTTTTTAATGATTGAAATCCACATCTATATAACATCAGCATTTAATTATTTTAATAAGATCCATATTTTAATAAGCCATATTTTTAAATCCACACCAGTATAAGATCCACATTTTAAAATTTACATCTATATAAGATCCGCTTTTTTAAACCCATTCTGTATATACAATCTACATTTTTAAATCCACATTTTTATATTTTTTACAATACATTTCTATAGTTTTCACATGTTTTTTAATCTACTAAAATCTTTTTACGCTTGATGACTTACATTGAAAGAAATGTTAACTACACCCAACTGTTACAAAGTTTATATTTGATGGCATTCATGTTATGGTGTACTTACACAACTTTAATTAAATCACGTTCATCATAATGTACATACTGTATCACCTACAATTTTTAACTAACAGATCTGACTTTTTTGTGTGGATAGTTATTGCCAGGCCTGCCAATTTTTCAGAAATTTTTAAAATGATTGTCCTTTCATTGTCTTTATTTGATGTTAAATTTACAACAATAAAATGCTGTTTTAATTGTGTGTCTGTGTTATATTTTCCCCATACATTTGTTGGGATCAGTGAGTTGTGCATGTAAAGACAGCAAGGCCTAACCTTTAGTTAACTATAGTAAACTATTTTGTCAATGTCTCTATAGATCTTGTTCTCATTTTATCTTGTCATTTATAATTGATGTAACTTTAGGCCTAGATTCTATAAGGGATGATGTTACTGATGCTTAGCTATCTTTATTTTGTCTAATTAATAATTATCATTCTCGTAATTTGATGCTTCTCATCACACACAACTGTGTACTGTCACTGACAACCACTTCTTACTATCAGAACGTTGTTGTTCATTGCAGTTGTCTGCCTTGCTTTTTCAAACTTGAGTTGCGTCCCTTACCTAAACTGGGGGTACAAATGGGCCCTACATTAGCTACATACAATCCTAGGTTTTTGTAGATGTTAACTCATAATTTACACCTGGTCTGAATGATCATTTTCCATACCCACATCACTGGGAAATATGCTAATTATCATTTATATCCTAATGAGTCAGGCTGTATCGTGGGTGTCGACATAATCTTGCTGTGCGCGTGCTGGTTTTTATTTTTTAATGGCGCCACTCTCAGTGTCATCTGTTTGACGTAGATGACATTAATTATGTAGATCGTTTTCTTGTTTGTTTGTTTTCGCCATAACTGGCACGTGATTCACACCATTTTGCAATACACTGACGTCTGAACGAAAATTTAAAAATAAAGAAAAAGCTAAATATAGAACATGAGCAGTTGTCCTAGTAAATGCCCTATAGACTACATAGATTCTAGATCTAGTAGGCGACATACTGGCTGGGTTTGTTTAGAAATACAGACAACTCTCAGAGACAACAGCTTGTTGAAATATTTAAATCACAATTATTGTTTTTTTTTTTTAAATTAAAACTGGATAAGGCCTCTAAAAGACGAGCTCGGTGATTGGCTCAAATAAAACCCATCTGGCAATAAAAGCGGATCGTATTTAGGAATTTAGCAGACGACGTGTGTCAACAAACGGGCGCCAACCACCTGTATCCTGTGTGTAGGACACGACTGGTAATTTTTTAAAAAAAGGTAAGTTACTTTTTCTTTACATCTTGGCTACGGCTGAGTAATTTGTGTTCAATTCTTAACCCTGTGTTACAAGTGAAGTAATAGAGTAAAACTTCAGAAGCTAAAATCTGGTGGCGGAGTCTCTTTATTTCAGTACATTTATTTAGCTCTCTTGATGAGTTACATTTAGTAAAACCACACTGAACTACTGCACGACTGCACGAAGAGTTAAAGTGTTAAACGAAAAGAAAGTACTAAAGTACTACTTTTAAAATTAGGGCCTTTAACGTTGACAACCCTTTAACGTTGACAACCCTTTAGCGTTGACAACCACCACTTAACGTTGACAGCCCTTTAACTTTAACGTTGACAACCACCATTTAACGTTGACAACCCTTTGACGTTGACAACCCTTTAACGTTGACAACCCTTTAACGTTGACAACCCATTAACGCTGACAACCCTTTAACAGTGACAACCCGTTAATTTTGACAACCCTTTAACAGTAGCGTAGCGGGGGGGGGGGACATATGTCCCCGGGCGCCGATCTTAGGGGGCGCCAAAATGGGTTGGAAAAATAAATTGAAAGGTTGAGGGGGGTGCAAATCGAAATCTTGAGGGGGAGGGGTGCAAATCGAAAGTTTGAGGGGGGGGGGTGCAAATCAGAAAGTTTGTCCCCGGGCGCCGGGAAGGGTCGCTACGCCTCTGCCCTTTAACGCTGAAAGTCATTCTTTACTTTTTTTATAGTAATGTAATAATGGGCCTTCAAAAAAGATCGAAACCCGAGATTTTTTTACTAATCTCCCCATTAGACATCCTCCCGACTAGGAAAACCCCAGTTTCGCAATCTTGTGTGTCTGTGTGTCGCTATGGGTTTCTCGAAAATCAAACGGTTTTGTTAGAAACTTCTGTAACAAAACTCGATGCCCCTGGAAATTTGATCCCAATCCCCATTGTTATACACGAATATATACGAGAGTGTTAAGGGTGGATCACTCCTGCTTTATCTTTACCACGATGTCTTGAGGAGATATTTCCTGTCATGTTATTTGAGAAGGGGGTCCTAGAAATGATATAATGAGTGGTGGTGGTAATGGAATGTTATACATCGTGATGTGGCTTAATGGTGGTCAATAACTTGGCAGTAAGCTTCATGTCACGCAACCCCCCCCAGAGGCGTAGCTAGGGGAGGGCGGGGAGGGCGGCCGCCCCGGGCGCCGACCCTAAGGGGGCGCCAAAAGGGGTAGAAAAAAATATTTACAAGCTCATTTTAAGCTGCAGTTTTCAATTATAAACAGTCAAAGTAAAGAAATTTAACGGCTGAGAGCCTTTTCATACTTATTTAACTGTTTTCTACCTTGATTGAGTAACTGTAAAAGGCATATCCATAAGAAACAGTGACCAGAAAAACTGCTTTCCAGCTTTCCTAGATGTGGGGGGGGGGGGGGGGCGCTTTTTCGAAGACTAAAATCGGAAAAAAATAAGGAATAAATAACCCTTATTACTCAGAAAAGAACCCATGGAACTAAAGCGTATTTTACGATTGTGTAACATAAAAACAAGAGTTAGTGACGTTTAAAATCCGCTTTAACATTTTTGTTCAAGATGGTGGGGAAGGGGGGGGGGGGCGCTTTTTCACCAACAAAAATCGCAGGATTTGTACTGGATCGTTTACTAGATAACTCCTCTAGCTTGTTTCATTATACAATCAACCAGTCAACGAAATACCCATATGGTATTCCAATGTGAACAATAATTTTCTATTGTATGTTAATTGTATGACCTTAATCTAACAAACTTATAATCCAAATATATACTATATCATAGAATAGACTGTTCCAAAGATAAAACATAAAAACACTGTCCTAAACGAATTAGCACCTGCTACAATTTTTATTTTTTTCTGACATTACTAATCATCATCTTTAAAGGATAATGCATCTTAAGAGGAATTTAATTGGCGTTGAGTTAAGTTTTAGGGAACGACAATCATACAGCGTAACTATTAATTTTTTTCAAGACTGTCGTACACACATAAACATACACACACACACACACACACATATATATATATATATATATATATATATATATATATATATATATATATATATATATATATACATATATATATATATATATATATATATATATATATATATATATATATATATATATACATATATATATATATATATATATATGTATATATATATATATACATATATATATATATACATATATATATATACATATATATATATATATGTATATATATACATATATATATATATATATATATATATATATATATATATATATATATATATATATCTATATATATATATATATATATATATATGGCGTGGCGCCAAACTGAATGTTCGCCCCGCCGGGAGGGGTCGCTACGCCTCTGCCCCCCCCCCCCCCCAAAAAAAACAAAAAAACAACAACTACCCGATATTCTAACTTAAAACATGTCCAGGTTAACGAAATACGGTGGCCTCAGGCGACAGACGGTGTGAACAGAGGCCAAGAAAGATGAGCCGGTTGAAAGCTCAGACTGTGACAAGTGGTGTTCTAGTGATAGGGCAGATTGTGACCAGTGGTGTTTTAGTGATAGGGCAGATTGTGACAAGTGGTGTTTTAGTGATAGGGCAGACTGACCAGTGGTGTTTTAGTGATAGGGCAGACTGACAAGTGGTGTTCTAGTGATAGGGCAGATTGTGACCAGTGGTGTTTTAGTGATAGGGCAGATTGTCACCAGTGGTGATTTAGTGATAGGGCAGATTGTGACAAGTGGTGTTTTAGTGATAGGGCAGATTGTGACCAGTGGTGATTTAGTGATAGGGCAGATTGTGACAAGTGGTGTTTTAGTGATAGGGCAGATTGTGACCAGTGGTGTTTTAGTGATAGGGCAGATTGTGACCAGTGGTGTTTTAGTGAAAGGGCAGACTGACCAGTGGTGTTTTAGTGATAGGGCAGACTGACAAGTGGTGTTCTAGTGATATGGCAGACTGTGACAAGTGGTGTTCTAGTGATAGAGCAGATTGTGACAAGTGGTGTTTTAGTGATAGGGCAGACTGACCAGTGGTGTTCTAGTGATATGGCAGACTGTGACAAATGGTGTTCTAGTGATAGAGCAGATTGTGACAAGTGGTGTTTTAGTGATAGGGCAGACTGACCAGTGGTGTTCTAGTGATAGGGCAGACTGACCAGTGGTGTTCTAGTGATAGGGCAGATTGTGACAAGTGGTGTTTTAGTGATAGGGCAGACTGACCAGTGGTGTTTTAGTGATAGGGCAGATTGTGACCAGTGGTGTTCTAGTGATAGGGCAGATTGTGACCAGTGGTGTTCTAGTGATAGGGCAGACTGACCAGTGGTTTTCTAGTGATAGGGCGGGGTGGTAAAGCTGGGTGGATGTGTAGGGTAGCTAGATAGGAAATATGGCTAACTGTAGATCGCTGCACTGCTAGCTTGCTCTGTAACAGTCACATTGATTCGACGTTTTCTGTATTATACGTCATGTATTGCACTGGATATGAGTTTGTCACAAACAATCCTTGACTCAGTGTTTTATTCCTCCGGGGGGGGGGGGGGGGACTTGAAATTTTCGGGGACGGACTAAAGTTTCCTGGGGGGGGGGGGGGGGGGGGAAGCGGACACTGTTGAAAGTATATTTTGTCTATATACATTCCATTTCGTTGGGGGGGGGCGGTAAACTTTCTTCGGGATGCCGGGAAGAAACTCTGGAAACTCACAACCCCTCTTATATCACAACCCCTCCTATCTCACAACCCCCTATCTCACAACCCCTCCTATCTCACAACCCCCTATCTCACAACCCCCTATCTCACAACCCCCTATCTCACAACCCCTCCTATCTCACAACCCCCTATCTCACAACTCTTCCTATCTCACAACCCCCTATCTCACAACCCCTCCTATCTCACAAACCCCTATCTCACAACCCCTCCTATCTCACAACCCCCTATCTCACAACTCTTCCTATCTCACAACCCCCTATCTCACAACCCCCTATCTCACAACCCCCTATCTCACAACCCCCTATCTCACAACCCCCTATCTCACAACCCCTCCTATCTCACAACCCCTCCTATCTCACAACTCTTCCTATCTCACAACCCCCTATCTCACAACCCCCTATCTCACAACCCCTCCTATCTCACAACCCCCTATCTCACAACCCCCTATCTCACAACCCCTCCTTTCTCACAACCCCCTATCTCACAACCCCTCCTATCTCACAACCCCCTATCTCACAACCCCTCCTATCTCACAACCCCCTATCTCACAACCCCCTATCTCACAACCCCCTATCTCACAACCCCCTATCTCACAACCCCTCCTTTCTCACAACCCCCTATCTCACAACCCCTCCTATCTCACAACCCCTCCTATCTCACAACCCCCTATCTCACAACCCCCTATCTCACAACTCTTCCTATCTCACAACCCCTCCTATCTCACAACCCCCTATCTCACAACCCCCTATCTCACAACCCCTCCTATCTCACAACCCCCTATCTCACAACCCCTCCTATCTCACAACCCCTCCTATCTCACAACCCCCTATCTCACAACCCCCTATCTCACAACCCCCTATCTCACAACCCCTCCTATCTCACAACCCCCTATCTCACAACCCCTCCTTTCTCACAACCCCCTATCTCACAACCCCTCCTATCTCACAACTCTTCCTATCTCACAACCCCCTATCTCACAACCCCTCCTTTCTCACAACCCCCTATCTCACAACCCCTCCTATCTCACAACTCTTCCTATCTCACAACCCCCTATCTCACAACCCCTCCTATCTCACAACCCCTCCTATCTCACAACCCCCTATCTCACAACCCCCTATCTCACAACCCCCTATCTCACAACCCCCTATCTCACAACCCCTCCTATCTCACAACCCCTCCTATCTCACAACCCCCTATCTCACAACCCCTCCTATCTCACAACCCCTCCTATCTCACAACCCCTCCTATCTCACA